TTGACCTATAATGGTTTACTTTCACATATTGTGATTTGGATGGACAGTTGTCTCATTGGTGCTCATACCACATCCTCTTATATCTAGTTAATGTTTATTTTGGTACGATGTAAATACTGATTCTATTTTACGGTTTGTTCATCATTTTATCGAAACGTCATTTTTTGTTATATTTTTGTTTAACTTCACATTCATCTCAATATTCATAATTATATCAACAAATTCACAATATATCAATGCTGCAAATAGGCAATGCATTCTCTTTAACTAATTCGCCAAACTTTCCTTGAACGAGTGTATATATCTGCTTGCGTTTATCGCCGAACAATTTATATTTATCTAAAGAAATACTTTTATTTACCAAATGTGTTTCTACAATCCTATCATATGTAGATATTAAAAGGATATATACGAAAACATGCATCAGTTTAAAACTTTTTATCGCTATTTACATTCTTTATACATCCATGTATGTTCCATAACCAACATCGGTACTAATATCTCTTACCATTAATAAGGGCACGGCATTGTTCGCTTTGTATATTATTATAATTATATGTGTTCCTACTGTCTGTAGCTTTACCGTTTTGTCTAGACCCACGATTATAGTTGTGATTGTAATTGTCATTTGAAACATTTCTATATACATTTCCCCGTTTCATGATATACCCTGATATTGACACAAATTCCCTTTCTTTCCCTACTGCTTTCAAAAGATTACAATTGCTCCTATCTATCAACCTTTTTTTCGTAGGATGTGGTTTCAATATAAACAGATCTGTACTTAACTGTTTCTCTTAGCCCATTTTTTTAATTTCATCACAGATTGTTTGCTATCTATGTCTCCGGTATCATGTGAATTGTCTTCAATCAGCACTATTATCCTATATTAGTAATATACTTAATTTGTATTTATCACAAAAGTAGTAAATCGATTGAGAAAAAAACAAATCCGGGTTACAAACTAAAACCGAGGGAAACACATTAACTATAAGAAGAAAACAAAGGAACAACAGGAACACCGAAGCGCAACAAAAACAAACGCCAACACAAATAGAAACGAACTATTTGATAACAAATATGTCATATTCTGACTTGTTACAGGACATTTTAAGAAAAAATGGTTGGTTGAACCTGGTTTAATGGCATGCCAAACCTCCCGTTTTCTGGCAATTTTTAAAAATATCGCTTAAATACTACGTGACAGAAATACAGCACAAACACACGCAAAAACATTTATAACACTGAGAGGAACACACAAACAAATAATATAATAATTGAAACAACATGCAAATAGTTATCAAAGTTACCAGGCTTATAATTTTAATACGCAAAACGCGCGTTTCGTCCTCATAAGACTCATCAGTGACGCTCAGATCAAAATAGTTATAAAGCCAAACAAGTACAAAGTTGAAGAGCATTGAGAACCCAAATTCCAAAAAAAGTTGTGCCAAATACGGCTTAGATAATCTATGCAGAACAACAACGAACATACTGTTTGGCGTTTATATGGCAATAAACATTTGAACTTGAATTTGAATTTTCATGTAAAAAGTAGAATTCTTTGATTCTTTGTTTTTACGTCATACCGGCTAACAAATTGGACCTCGTTATTTAAGTTGTATAGTTATGTTAAGTGTCAATTCAGAACATTTGTTGTGTTTGTTTATATCGACATTGTTTAGACATATTGTAACAAACCGCTCATAGTAGGTACGGAGAGATGACTTATCTAAAACTGAACGTCAAAGTGACAAAGTAGGTAGTAAAACAGGCAACAAAGAAAAATATCATTAGAACTTCGCTTTCCTACATATTCTTGTAGAATTAATTAGGTACCGATCATTTATTTTTTGAGTGTGTTTGGTAAACGGTGTTCTAGGGACAAACATTTTTTTCGACATTATCTAAACATATTTTTTTCAATGAAAAACAAGAACAATATAAGACTAGAGGTATAGGGGGAGGGTTGAGATCTCACAAAACATGTTTAACCCCGCCGCATTTTTGCGCCTGTCCCAAGTCAGGAGCCTATGGCCTTTGTGAGTCTTGTATGTTTTTTTAATTTTAGTTCATTTATATGTTTTGGAGTTTAGTGTGATGTCCATTTTCACTGAACTAGCACACATTTTTATTTAGGGGCCAGCAGAGGACCACCTCCGGGTGCGGAATTTTCTCGCTGCATTGAAGATCCATTGGTGGCCTTCGGCTGTTGTCTGCTCTTTGGTCGGGTTGTTGTCTCTTTGACATATTCCTCATTTCCATTCTCAATTTTATTAGTGATGCTCGACACCAAAACATTTGAAAATCCACATCTTAAAAAAAAAATTGAAGACTGAATAAAATTGAAAATTCGTAAAGGGTTCTGGGAAACTTCTATGTCTCACCTGCGATTGCTGTTGTTAGTTTGAACGTGTATTGTTAATTGTAAGGATTGAATCAATTTATAAAAAAGAAAAATTAAAAAAAGAATATTTTATTATTTTGCTCTGGATTCTGTTGACCACAAAGAAGCTTCAGTCCAAGCTTAATAAAATCCCATGAAGGTTTGACAAAGTTATACTGTATATAAATGTTGACTGTTAATACACTTAATCCATTTATCAGTTCAGTAAAAAAAAACAATTATGCTCTGGAAACTGTTTTTGGTAATGAAAAAAGTTCGGTCCAAATTTAATCAAACTTCCTAAAAGAATGACAAATTTATTGATGTCTAAAAAACTGAACAACAGATCGAACCTTAACGTTGACGACGTCGACAACGGAATCTAGAATTGCTATATCTTGATTCTACGACATAAATGTCGCAGGTTCGAAAAATTGTAAGAAAACTACTTAAGTTATAGCCCAAGCTGGACAAGGATTCCGAACTACGCACAAGGTAGAGGTCTTCCCTAATTTAAAAAACAATTTCCAAAATTTTGATACAACTTTTACCTCGAATCTATACCAGGGTATACACAGAAGTTTATAATACTATACAACAGTTGAATGTTTTATAAACGATAAGATTGTGTTTAGAAATATTAACAAATATCATTTTCTTATATGCGTAAGACTCTTCAATGACACCCGAGCTCAAACAAATGGGAGGCAAAACCAAATACGAAGTTCAAAAGCATTGAAATAAGAAAAAGTAAAATCACAAAAATACTGAACTCCGAGGAAAATTCAAAACGGAAAGTTCCTAATCAAATGGCAAAATGAAAACTTCAAACACATCAAACGAATGGATAACAATTGTCATATTCCTGAATTGATACAGACATTTTCTTTTGTAGAAAATGGTGGATTAAACCTGGTTTTATAGCTAGCTAAACCTCTCACTTGTATGACAGTCACATCAAATTCCATTATATTGAAAACGATGTGTGAACAAAACAAACAGACATAATAGGCAAACATTTCAAAGATAGGGGTACATAAGTCAACATTGTGTTATAATCTTAATCAATATAAAAACAAATAAATATGTAACAAAGAAGCACAAAAAGGCATATAGACAAAGCACATTAGCAAAAATTAAAAGACAAGAATACAAAAAATGTTCAAAGAACAGTTGTACAAAATAAAGGCTTAAATTACTTACTTCCACTTCATTTTGACCTTAGTGGATAGCTGTCTCATGGGTAACCATATCACATCGCCTTATTTTCATAAGGCAGTATATGCTTTGTTTCAGGAACACCTTAGTGTTTGAAATCATTCTAAATTTCACAAAACAGTAAATTTAAAGAAAATGAACAAATCTACAAAAGTGTTGACTACTTGTCTGGTGATATCATCGGACAAGAGGAGTCCAGAAGCAGTGACATTAACCAAGTTGTTGTCAAATTTTTTCAAAGATACCAGGTTATCACTTGGACGTGCATTTCGTCGACATAAAACTTTAAATGGCACTGGAAGTAAAACAGTTGGAAAACCAAATCAAACATGGAGTTGAAAAGCAACATTTCTACAAGTTTTGCCGAAAATCGCTACGACAATCCTAGCGTGTGTATAGGAAAACTCAATCATCATTGACAAATTACGTGACCTTACGCAATTCAGGCTAAGGTTAGGAATCTAAGCAGGTTTAAAATTTCCTGTTACTTGAAAGATGATCCTGGAAAGAGGTTCGGATTCATTAAAGGAGAAGAAAAAGAAGGTCATATGTTTTTGCACCCTGAGCTACGTCATTATGTAATTGGAATTATAAGGTGGATATACCTATAAAAATTTTGTTGTACGATCATGATATCTGATCACATTTATCGTAAATTTATATGGCATTATGAACGGTGTAGTTTCATGTATGCCTGATACAATGTCTGTAGACAAATATTTTTATTTAGCAGAAGTACAAACAGGGAATAATGGTTGACAATATGGATTTAATATTGAATAAAAATATGGAGAGCACAAACATAGATTTCAACTGATGATTTGAATCTTTATGATCTTTAATTGTTTGAATACCATACCTTGTTTTGTTTGATAGTTAACCAGTTTTTAAACACACAATGGATTTTGCTTATGTAACATTATACTAATAATAGTTTGAATTTAACAATGATTTTCTTCTAATCGGGTTAGTTCGCAGAAATCGTCTTGTTTTAGGAATTCAATACATATGTTTTTTTAAGTTATTTAAATCTAATAACAGGTTTTATCTTTTCCTCATATCATACCGATGTAAGTTGAAAGAAGTTCATAGCACACAACCATTACAAATGTTAAAATCCCAAATGAAAAAATAGTCTAACTGGATTGTTTTATTGTTGATAATTTTTAAACTCAAAAGGGTTTTTTAATTACGTGACAATTACATTACTGATAACATATTGAATTTAACCATGATTTTAGTCCTATCGGTAAGTTCTCGGAAAACGTTTTATATTTTGAATTCAATACAGATTTGTTAAAGTTTTTTAATTCTAAGTAAAGGTAACTTGTTTTATTTCATATCTTACCAACATTAGTTTGAAACCAGTACAAAGTACATAGCCATTTTAAATATAATGGCCCAAGTACCTGTTTCGGGTACTAAATGCAGCATTTGTTCAACAAATGCTGGATTGCTATTTTGTTATGATTGTCAGCAAGCACTATGTGCGACTTGTAGAACTGTACATGATAAAATTTCGTCTACAAAAAATCATAAAGTGACGGATATAAAGAAAGTCGATCGTTTATTTTTTAAAACCGAAATAAGGTGTACAGATCACCAGGAGATTTATACAATATTCTGTACAAAGTGCAGGTGCTTGGTATGCAATTCGTGTTTGACGTCTATCCACAAAGACCATGCATTTTCTGCTGTTGATGAAGTTGTTGAAGAATCACGAAAAGAGGCAAGAGAGCTCTTAAATGAAGGACAAGAGAAAATAGCTATTGCATCTACTGCTATTGAGGATCTTAAATCCACACTGAATGAACACAAGCAAAATGAAAAAGAAATAATCAAAACAGCTGCAGTGTTGAACAACATTGTGGAAAGTGTAAAGCAAAACTATTTACAGGAATTGATGGAATCTAGCATCTTTGCAAAAGATCGTTCGAAATCAGTATTGCAAGAACTAGAAAATCAGAAAGCCTGTTATGAAAGTGTATGCTCAAAAATTGAACATTTGCTGTCGGAACCACATAGCATCACTTTCTATCTCTCTTATGACAGCCAAAAGAAAGAATACCAGGACTTGGAGGATATTTCAGGATGCGAAAACCTTGAACATAACACAGAATTTGATGTTGACTCGTTTATCGGGGAGGTCGAAGCTAAAATTGAGACTTCTTTTGGGCGGTAAGAATGATTGTTTATCAATGTTCCATTCTGTTAAAATTTTCAAATTTGTTAAGTAACTTTTTTTTTCATTTTATAAACGTCTGAAGTAACAATAATCAAAGGCTGTTGGCTAAATGCAGTGTACAATATATTGCATGAACTCCGTTTCATTTCAATCATGTTGTAACTAAAGACGGCTAGTGTGAGTGGGCTCTGTGTCATCAGTCTGATTAAATGAAGTCTTTCAGTCTGTAATTTACACCGAAGGCAAATTCATAAAGACATAATTTTCAAATCTTATTTAGAAACTAATGGCTTAGACTAATTTTAGATGTTCTGATCGTATCAAAGAGCCAACCTTGCTGAAATGTATCATAAATCATATTTATACAAATTGCCCTCTCAAAACACCCCCCCTCCCCTCCCCCCCCCCACCCCTCCCTTTTCCATCCAAGCTAAACGTATCAAAATCATACTGTGAAATGATTGGTGTATAGGCCCTCTTTAAAGTAGTAATGGACCACCTTGGATTTAGGACGTAAAATTGCATATATAGAGAAGAATCAATAAACAAGTTCGAGGCCTTGTGCATTGCGTTTAAAAGAATTGGGACAACGGTATATGCTTTATTCTATATAAATCATCAATCTTCATCATCAATCTTCATCACCAATTTTTTCGTCTGTTGAAACCTTTCAGATTTTTTCTCAGTACTGTTTTGTTTTTATAAAGGGACGTAACACCATTACTAACCGTGTATGAAATAAGCCCCGCCTCCCTACTAAACTTTGATATCATCACGAGTTTAACTTCAATATTCGTTGCCTATTTTACAAGTTTTAAGTTTTTTTCATGTAGATACACAACACATTTATTTTCGGTGTATTATCCAACAACTGATCTATACAAGTGTAAATAAACCCCTAGATGTATGACAACAAATCGGCTCAAACCTAAAGATTATATAGAATCAAGCATATACCGTTGTCCCAATTCTTTTAAACGCAATGCACAAGGCCTCGATCATATTCTTCGTTGTCTAGTGAAACTGTTGTAGTATCTTTAATGGGTCTGATGTAGAGTCGTTGATATGAAAATTCTAGAAGATTTTTTAACTATTAGAGTCAAAGACTCCAAACAGTACTATGATTTGCAATTTCTCTATAATATTTAGTAAAACAATACTACGTTTAACCCCCTACCCGTCTACATCATCACTTCATGTTGCTTTGACGCAATGATTGAACGAAAAAAAAACTGTAATATGACCCATATCTATATCAGAGATGGTTCCGATTACTTTCAATATAATTGATTAAATTACAATTACTTTGTCAATTGTACGATTAAATTAAATTAATGATTACATCATTTCTCAAAGAAGCTGATTAAATTAATGATTACATTGGCAAGTAATCATGATTACATCTGATTACACTGAACTTCAAAATAACCCATTTGAATGAAGTTAATAAATAAAGATTACAACTGTAGCATGTTTTGAGAAAGGATTTTATTTGATAAAATTTTCTTCATTAGGAAATAAATGCCTGTTAACTAAGTTAAGAATATGACAGTTGTTATCCATTCATTTGATGTGTTGAGTACAGTATTTTGTTATTTCACTTTTTGATATGTTATGAAATGATAACTTCCAAATTCAAAATGATAACTTCCAAATTCATTGATTTAATATACCACTAAGATTCACAACATATAAACATGAACATGTTGTCACTGGTTATGGCCCTTTACACTTTACCATTATATAATTATTAATCTTTGAAATATTTTGACTTCTATTGAATAAAAGTTTCTAAAGAGGCTTGGCTATTGTCTGTCTGACATCTTACAGAATCTATATGTATTTCAGTTATCAGTCAAAACACATCTAAAAACTGTAATAGTATTGTTTAATAGTCATTACATTTTACGTGTACTTATATTTACCAACATTTGTTTATTTAAAAAAAAACATATTTGTCACAATTTTGTTTGTGCTAATTAGATAAATGTTCTTTTATCTTTTATCATATTGCCCTAAGTACAGAATAGGTAATTGAAAAAAAAAACATACTTTAATTGGTCCCCTACCTGTCAATTAAAATGTGTCAATAATAACAACATCAACAAAAGGCTTATAATTCAGGTTTTAAAAAAGTATAACATACAATCATCAAGTACACATCTTTTAAACTGTTATAAATATAAAAATAATTTGGAATTTTGATAGTAGACGAACGTTTGTATACAAAATAATTTGTTGATGTTGGCGGCTGGTTTCGTTATGGCCTGGGTTTATTTAGTCATACAATAGTAATTTTCAAGTTGGAACAAACAATTGTTACTAGTATTACTCACTAAATGCTTTGTTATAACTTTCACGTTTTTATTTCAAATAGTATTGAACAAAACAAAAAGTTTTTTCAATGTTTCAATAACAGAAAACCAATGTCTTTACAGAAGACTCCAAAACGAGAAAGCAAAAGAAACAACTGCAAAAGAATTTGAGGAAAACCTCGAAAAATTAGTCGAAGAAGAAAATAGGAGGAAACTGGCTGAGGAGGAAATCAACGAGTTAAATTCAAAACTTAGTGCACAGGCAGAGAAGATTAAACGTCTGAAGTGAGTGAGCTATTCTCGTAACGATGTTTCATGTTAATTCGTGAATTTTTTAATCTGAAAAAATCTTCGTTTTGTGAATTTTAAAAAGATATATCTGAAATTTATAACGGTTTTTATCATATATATTGTATGTGCCTTATTCATATTATGTTATAATTTTTATATACTTAGTAGTATGTGCTATAATCATATTCTTCTAAACTTAGTTGTACATATTTTTTATTATTAGTTTTATTATTTCAGTCGTCGTTAAAATGAATTGAGACATTATACTAATTAATCATTCACCTAAAGCGATATATTTTACATCACCGTATTACTTCGGGCGTACCGATAATTGTGTAGTGTTGGTGCTATCAATACACGTGGGACACACAGAAGTGTCAATATAAACATGACAATTCTGAGACAAAAAAGCGTACAGTTAGTGGTGAGTTTACAAAACAAACATGCTGGAGCACATCATCAAGTTGCAGTGTCTTACTGTACGATTTATTACCTTACCCTATTATCTAAGTTCTATGTTTTGATAGTTTTCATAGATTTCAGAAATCAATGGAATTATTATCAAAACGTATGAGTTAGAGTTTATCTTTGCTCCTTTTTAAAACAGAGGTCGACGAGGACATGACCCATACAATCCCGAGGAAGAAAGAATTGAATATCTTGAAATAGCTTTGAAACAATCAAATGAAGAGCTTATCAAGGTAGAAAGAGAATTAGATGAGGTAAGCTGTAAAATGCATTTTCGACTCCATGTTTTAAGAAAGTCAGATAATATACGTTAATAAATACAGTGAAACGTTCAGGTAGAATCCCCTTTCGAATACTTATAGTAGAAAGTCTTCCGGAATGAAAGATACCTTAGAGATATATTCATGAATAAAGCAGAGTACTACGACACCACGAAAAGTCGATTTTGTAAAAAAAAAAAACCCAAAAAACCACACAGAATAGGGTTGTGCGTTCGCATTTAATATATCATATTTTATTTAATATATTTATATACAATCAGACATACCCAAATGCATCAGAATTAGCCATTTACAAGTTGACACGAAATGAGAAAGTAATTTATAAGATGGTTAAATTGGGTTGGAAGGCAGGTAATAGTATACCGAACCAACCACTTTGACCTTTTTATCTTGTAACGTAGGTAGCATTGGTTAAGCGTGCCTTAAATTTTCTTTATATACTGACCGCCGAAATCTTCCGTGCAGAAAAGAATTCAATAGATATTATCCTATCTAATTCTAATATTGAAAACCATTGTGTAAAACGTAGGACCGTAAAGAAATGTAAAAACATATATAAAGATGCAAAAAAGACCACAGGATATTATAAACGGAACCTAAATATAAACCCACAATAAAGGAAAATACATACAAATTACTTTTACTAAGTCAAACAATGAAGTTTGCATGTAGGTCTCCTCATCTTTTAGTGACTGACATGCTTAACCGAGTGGAATAGACAGGTATATTAATTCCAGATACCATAACGTAGAACAGAAGTGAGGAAAGAATTAATTTACCCAAGATTTATAACAGACTGTAACGCCCCACCACATGCAACCACCAGTTCTGGTAGTTTTGAAAGTGTTCTACACGTGACACACGAGACCACCATTTAGAATATGTTAGCAACATTATATGAAGAATGTATAGCAAACCTGTTCTTTTTCTTTATGAATTATTTACATGCGTAAAATCATCAGTACATTGATGGTGGTCGCGTAACGATAGAAGTAGAAAAAGAAGTAGCAATTCAGAAATAAGGGAATGACTTAGAAGAAATACACGGCGATTTTTTTATCCACACCAAATCATATAGATTACATAGATTTTCATTTTTTTTTATATTAGACTTATTAAGTAATTATATATTTACAAAAAGAAAATGGTCAGAGTCACCAAGTTCACTTTCAACTCATTCAAGCCCTTCGAAGGAAGATGAGTTTTTGCAAAGTTATTTTGTCTTCTCTACGGCCAGATATAAGTGAATTGGTTGGAACCACCACCAGTTGATCTCTGCTTCCTGCTTAACTTTACTTTAAAATAACCTTTTTAGACTCTTTATGTGTTGGCCCACTTGTCTCTGGGTGATATTACCGCAACGACATCTCCATCACCAAACTTTTCATCTAGAATATTATTTTGTTTGTATTTGATCTTGTATCACATTCCCTACTGCTGTGCTAAAGTTATACTTGGCTTCCTATCCATGATTGTAAATGTTGTTTAAGCCATGTACCAACACACGCATAACGGGTAACCACAGTTAGGTCTTAATTTTTGTTAAATACTTTAAGGTTGGCTGAAAATTTAACACAATCGTTAATAACGCTAACGTTAAACCAATTTGAATAACACAAGTTTAACCATGCATTAAGCAACGACACATTAATGTCAACACTAGTGATAAGATAAAGACAAATTGAACAACCCGAAAGAGAAAACACGAACAAAACAAAAGATATCTATATGACTACATGTGTAAATTTGTCTTTATAGTGATAGTAGGGTCCGAAAAAGAGAGACGAAAGATACCAAAGGACTATTCAGACAAATAGGTCGAAAATAAAACTAACAACGCCATGGCTAAAATACGAAAAAGACTAAGACAAAAAACGAGCAAAAGTACACAATAGTAGTTAGTAGTACACACAACACAACATAGAAAACTAAAGACGGGGCAAAAACGAACTACACAAAAACTGGTTGTGATCGCAGGTGCTCTCGAAGGGTAAGCAGATATTGCTCTACATGCGACACTTGTCTTGTTGTACGTGTAAATATGAATCCGGTGATAAGTCTTATTCGGTAGGTCAAATTTTGAAAATCAATCGTGGTTAAGAAAATCAGAACATATATGTCGTCATCTATGGAACATATATTCCATTGCCAACGTAACATTAATTCTACTGGAAACTTTGTTATAAATTCTGCTATAAACCGTTATTCCGTAAAGAAAAATTCTGTAATATTTGTACCAGTTGAAAAAAAAATACAGAATATTTTTTTTCTAATTGGAACTTATATTACGATAGAACTTACCATCTATCAACGACATCATGAAAGGAAGCACACGACCTTAAACATCGTATCAACTGGAAGATATTTACTCCGTTTGCAGGATCTTCCATTTGTGTACATTATGGGACTAAACAAATTGCTCGTTTAGTCCAAATTTGCAATTAACATCCAGGGAATACATTTTGTAATTGAATCGGGAGCTTTCGTCAAAGGTGCGAAAAGGCGAAAATATTTTCATACTTGACAGTTTTCAAATATTTTACAATAGTGGTCTGATAACGTTATTCATTTATTTTGATGATAAAAGTTAGAGATTTTCATTATGAGAAATCGTCGGTTGAATTAAACGAAGACGAGTAAATAAAATTAATAACGATGCGTTGAGAAAGTTTTTAATCTTGTAGTAAAATTTTGAAAAATAGAAAGGAATATGAAAAAAAATATAGTAAATCACTAATCTATTTACTGATTTCTTTTAGACTTCCAGAAAAATGAATAATATTGAGTGTACATTAGAAAAGGAAGAAGAAAACAATGAATATAGGAAAAAGTATGTACAAGTATTTATATTTATATTATTTCTTTTTTCTTTCAAGTTATATTCTGTGTGCTTTCGTTTTTGTTTCGGTTTTTGCCATGGACATCTTTCTTATATAGTCTGTTAACAAATATTAAGTAAAGCGTTTTGAATAAGATGATGGTTGAATATCGTTAAAAAAATAACCGCTTCTTCTTTGCAGTAAATACATGGATTCTGTTTCTTAAGAAAATATGACATATTTCTGTCAGTGTTTAGCTCACGAAAGTGTTTTTCTTAAGGCAAAGTATATGCGATTGTATCATAATTTAACATGTTAATTGCTTGAAAATACATCGCAATTCATCGTAGTACAGTCACATAATCTATCAACGGATAATTTATGGAAAGTATGTTAGAAATTTTGGCAGAAATAAACACCAGGCGATGATGCCCTAGGTGATGAGCAGATGTGATATGATTGCCATTTGGATAAACTTTTCAACAATTACGTAAAAGTAAGCAACATGCAGACATCTTGACTGTCCCTCTGGTATCTTTCGCCCCTCTTTTATACGTTCAGGTATTTCACATCCAATATTTTATGGTAATATTCTTTACAAAGCACAAAAATGTCGGCATTAACCTCAAAAGCTAACCAAACCTTTAAACAGGCTTTTTAAGAAGGAATATAGTTACGATACCCTTTGTCAGGTCATTAAAGATGGCGTATTTTGGTTTTAATATTGATTCAGTTATAGGGTCTTTGCATTGGAAATAAACACATTTATTATGAAACCAGTTATTGGCATGATACGGGTTATGTTTTTCTCATATATTTTATGATGGTATGATACTAAACGCCTAATGGGAGGGATTGTGCTTGATATTCATACGATGAAAACATAATCTTTCAATCAGTTTAATTGAGGTCTGGAGCAGCTGCCATGTCAGTAACTGCTAGTAGTCCTTTGTTAATTAATGTATCATTGTCATTTTGTTTAGTTTCTTTTGTTACCTATTCTGACATCGGACTCGGACGTCTTTTAAACTGAGTTTTACTGTGCGTATTGATATGTTTTTTGCTTTTATACATTGGCTGTAGGTATAGGGGGAGAGTTGAGATCATCTAAAAAACATGTTTCTGCGCCTGTCCCAAGTCAAAAGCCTCTGGCCTTTGTTAGTCTTGTATGGTTTTTAATTTGAGTTCATTTATATTATTCCGGAATTTAGTAGGACGTCCATTATTACTGAACTAGAACACATTTTTGTTTAGGGGCCCGCTGATGCATGCCTCCGGGTGTGGGATTTTCTCGCTGTATTGAAGACCCATTGGTGGACTTCGGCTGTATTCTGCTCTTTGGTCGGGTTGTTGTCCCTTTGACACATTCCCCATTTCCATTCCCAATTTTATTTTAACTTTATTCACGGTCTTCAAATAGGAACAAAATGCCATACCACGTAGCAAGCTATAAAAGTTGATTGATGTGCAAAACAATTAAAGAAAAACAATGTGACACCAAGCAACAAACGACAATACCTACTGTATGAGCGGTGTAAATTAATACTCTAAAAGGGTAGAGAGATCTGTGTCAGCATATACAAACTCAGTTTCTCTTTATTGGTCTCTTTCCAATAGGATTAGATTACAGTTTGCCATCTTTTAAACTTTAGTAGGAGGGATAAACCGTACATATTGCAAAACATTCTGATTTAAACTATAAAATCCTTGAAATGGATATCATCAAAATGCTTGCTTGTTTATTGATATTTATATCTTTTACGTTTGGAGGACGTGATTTTGTAAACAAATAATCATCATTCCTATGCTCCTCTTCTTGCAGGTTTGTTATTTTATTATTTTTATGAGGCAGACTTCATTTAGAAACTTCTCAAAAGGTGAAAAGAAGGTATCACTGTCCTTGATGGTGTTTCTCCCTATTAGTTTTTAAATTTGCACGTTTTATATCTTTTGTTTTAAAGGAAGAATACTTGGCATGAACAAAGTTTTATCATGTCCAGTACTTCAGATATTCATTGCATATAACATAATAACCACCACTGGACGTTAACCAATCAAATTTTTACCCTTTCTTTCCTGTGTACTAACTTTAGTAACTATGTAATCTAAAGTTTCCAAAATATTCTATAGAAACACGAAATAAAGTCATTCTGTGATCTTTGTTTGGCAAAGGAATAGTTTTGTCCATAATCTTTTCATTGAATCAAATTGGTAGTAACATTTCATTTTACAAGGAACACTACTTATGAATAAAATTAGTGAATCTTTTCATTATTACCACTTCGATTTCTTGAATAACCAATAAAAAAACTATGTAATCTTTATTTTTTTTGAGATATGTTCATGGAATATAAAATTTTAAAGTCAAAACATAATATATAATTGAGTATTTTATTCCCAACCTTTTTGCTGCAAGGGTTCGTTATGGTAAAAAATCAAACTTATAGGAAATACTATTGAGTAATAAGAGCAACGTATGTATATCCCAGCTAGATAAAAGTGCTTAGCGTGTCGAAAATTGTATTTCAAGTTAGATTTTGGATTGTGTAAATATTAGGTAAAGACTGATTTCCTTACTCTTGAATTGATACAAAAGGAAACATAATTAGACATTTGTTTTCTACAAACAAAATACATGATTCATTTATTTCAATCTAAAATAATGCAAAAGAATGGATACTTCGGCTACAGGTTTTAATGTATGCTTACTTACTGACAAAAAGGCTGAAAAACTATATTGTAGGCCATTAAAGGCTCCTATAACTTGTCTTGGAAGAGCTGCACACGTTAGCTCTTGTCTCCATTTGATTCAATAATCTAAGGTTTCCGTTAATCTCTTCTTAATCATTTGCGGACCTAGCACGCGTGTTATAATTGTCGCACGCTTCACTTCTTTGAAACGAACAAAGTTTGGTGCAAAACAGATGTTGTTCAGAGCATAAAATTGAGACTGGAACAGAGCAGCTTGTTTAGCTCAAATATTTCGCATTCTTCTAAGTGTCTAAACGACAAAATTTGACCCGGCGTAAATTTTACTTCATCTTCTTAAATCTTTCTGTTTTACATCAACACAACAACATCTTAAAGCGATGCAGGCATCTTTTCCACAGAAGCACCCAACAAAGCTTCAATATCGCACCGAAGAGTGCTATTGGCAGAGGGAAGTACTTAAGTATGGCTCAACCTAAGAATCATGCAGAGGGTGATACAGTGATAGTTGTTAAATTGACAGTTTTGGGCTTCATATGTTCTATTTTGATAGAAAACTAAAAAAAATAACAGTTACACCTGTGTTGTATATTTGGTTGCTATGGTTACGATGGCATCATAACAACCCTTACATGTCAGTCCTAAAACCTCAAACTTTCTGTTTATCACAGATTTTTTATAAACAGCTAATTAATTTCGATAAAACAAATACATTTTATCATAGTTCCAAATTTGTTCTAAAAATTAAAGTTGATAAACAGAAGTTGCTACTATGGAAACTCTTGTTTCCGTGGCAACCAATCATTGCAGTTTTTCATTTTCTTAAAAGGAGTGAAAATAACGTTTTTCAAATTGTATTTTCTTCCAAGAACAAGGTCCTATGAATAACCTGTTTGTTTGCATTTGTTCATTGGACTTTTGTCTATAACATATCAAAAATAATCGTTTGTAGCCTCCTTTAGATGTTTGGGGAAAAAAAAAATTTTCTGTCTCATTTTTTATTTTTTGCTATTTTTTGTTTACAGTAAGCTAAATTATTTTCATGTATTTATAGCACAATTCATTTGATTATGTCTGTTTAACTGGTATTATACCTAGACATTATAACAAAGTAAAGAAAACAGTTACTTATTTATCATTATCCTCAAACAAACTACCAGTTTCCATGGAAACAGAACACACCGATTTTGAGAAATACACATTTTAATAAATGTATGCTTTATAATGATAAAATATTTACTCATGCATTTTTTTTCTGTATTTTTTTTCTATCAAGTATCATCAAATTATTCAGAATAAAGAAATAAAGTAGAAAAGTAAATTTGATTCCAATGGAGACAAATGCCTAGATTTCCAAAGTTTTCATTTAAAATTACCTAAACACTATTTGTTCAAACTATCATTTTCTGAACAAAATCATTGTTAGTAGCATAAATATTAAATATTGACTCTATACTTTCAAATAACCCTGAACTCTGACAGTATCAGCTCTATAATAAATAAATGAAAGCTTTTCAGATATGTTTGTAATGCAAGGATAATACCCTTTAAATTATTGAAAAATGTAATTATTCTTTAAAATTTTAGAGGAATTCAATGTGAACTTTGGAAAAGGAGGGGGGTATGAACCCTATCAATTTAGTAGAAGAGGGACGAAAGATACCAGAGGGACAGTCAAACTCATAGATTGAAAACAAACTGACAACTTCATGACCAAAAATAAAAAGTCAAACAGACAAATAATAGTACAGATGACACAACATAGAAAACTAAAGACTAAGCAACACGAACCCCACCAAAAACTGGGGGTGATCTCAGGTGCTCAGGGAGGGTAAGCAGATTCTGCTCCACATGGGGTTAGTAGTTATTGTGTCCCTATACAATCATACTATACAACACATACAGTTGACCTACTGTTTATAGTATCCGAAAAAAGGACCTAATCACCAAACTTAAACCTTGATCACTGATCCATGAAATGAGGTCAAGGTCATGTGAACCCTCTCTGACAGACATGTAGGCTTTATAAGGAACCCGTATATACAACAAGAATGTGTCTAAAGTACACAGATGTCCCACTCACACTATAATTTTTTTATGTTCAGTGGACTGTGAAATTAGAGGTGAAAACTCTTAATTTGGCATCAAAATTAGAAAGATCATATCATAGGGAACATGTGTAATAAGTTTCAAGTTGATTGGACTTCAACTTCATCATAAACTACCTTGACCAATAACCTGAAGTGGGCAACAGACGAACGGATAGACAGACGAACGAATTAACGTACAGACCAAAAAACATAATGCCCTAAGAAGGGCATAACAAATCTTTTTATTCATAATAAGTGAGAAATTCACATGACAAAAAACTGATTTTTATTTTAAGGTTTTTCAACACAAACATGACTAACCACCTGGTAGATATATATTTTATGGTTTTGCATGAAAATGAGGTCAAGGAAAAGGGACACATTACAGAAGGGAACTTCTTATCATAAGATATCTGCATACAAAATGTGAAGCATCCAGGACTTCTCCCTTCTAAAATATAAATCTTTATACAAATTGTTCACACTGCTGCAGCCATATAGTTAACCCTAAGTCTCGCATAGTGCTACTTTTTTTTCAAAGTAGGCAAAACAGGCAGGACAAAAACCAATTAAAAGCATTATTTTCTTTATAATTCTATGATTTTTTTTTATTCCAAATAATCAGTCAAGTCATTATCTTTGAAGATGCAGACACACACAAGCCATTTCAGTCCATTCTAACCAAACCACTTTGATTGCTTTTCCTTGAGAGAATTAGGGCAAAAACTTCATGGCCCAGTCCATAATGATCAAAACTTCTTTAGGTTTTAATTCACCCAAAAGGGTAGTATGTCCACGGTCTTGGTTAAATCATTTTGTAACATGCTGCCGCCAAGACATTATATGTGACTCTGATAGCTCTATGTCTGTTATGTATCTCATTATGTAGTTCTTCTGGAAAATCTGCAAAACAGAAATGAAAATATTGAAATACAAATGTATTAGTGCCAATTAATGGTACATGTTTGATCATGTTTAAAAAAAAATTGTAAGCATGAAAATCACAGGAATCAAATGTCATAAAAAATAAAATCAAGTCCAACTCAAGTTAATTTATACAAAGTTTAGTTAGATCTCAACTACATTTATCATGTTCATGAAAATTGTATTTTCAAGAATTCATTTTGGCCAGACTGCCAACTGTTTTTAAAAGATGATTAAGGAATGATCAGATTTTTTTTCTTTTATCATGATTATGGAGAAATACTACTCAATGTTGTACTTGTAATGTTGTACTCGTAGTATACATTGAGTAACTTGGAAGCAGGTTATTACAAGTGTGTACAAAAAAATTGAATTCAAATAAACCGAGAAAAAAATAACCCCCATTTCTATACTTTTAATATTTAAAACATGGCTTTAATTCTTAACATCACCTGTTTATTTCACCAAGCATGTGATGCCAAAAACTCGAAACAACTGTTAAATTTTGTTTTTTAAATTTGAAGTACCTATCTTCCTACATTATATTTTTGCATCAAAATGAGTATTGCTCTGGGAGAGGAAATAATTGAAAAGTGAAAGTAGATTGTTATAAATAGATTTGATAAATATAGAAAAATAAAGTTTGCTAAATAGTAATTTTTTTTTCTATATTTATCTGATCCAAGTTTTAAAAAAGATTGTGGGCTCTTTGAAGTGTTGTTGTCATATATATTAGTATTTTAAGTTCTGCAATACAATAGTTTGCATTTATTGAAAACCCGGCGTACCAAGGTACATTGTAACCATTTCATGAGACTTTATCGAAAGTTACGAGCACATTGATTCACCATATATGATATAGAGTTATAAATGAAATTTGTCATAGTTTCAAACCAATGAAATTGAACGTTTTAAGCTCAGTTGTAATCTAATGTACTTTTACATAATGTGTGTATAGAAATCAAAAGGATCAGTGCAGTTGAAAAAAAAGGCATTAAAAAGTGTACGCAGGAGAACAAAAGTGGCACAATCTACTAACATTTCTCTATTTGTTTTGACAAGTAAATTCTCTGATATAAGAATATCTTTAAAAAAATTATTTTTCTATTGGTAAATTACCTTGTGTATCACTTTCTCCATAACTTAAATTTCTGCTCTTGTAACTTTGAATGGCACTGGTAGCAGATACCTTAAAACAAGTTAATATTCATAAGATTTTTAAATAAAGCAAAACAAAACAATGTATAAATATAGAATAGGCTTTATACTTTTTCTCAAAAAAATATTTTTGTTTGTATAAGGCTTAATTAGGAATAGGAAGAAAAGTGAAATACAAATGCAATTCCAAGGTTCCTTAAAGTGAGTCTGGCAACAGTAAAGAGTGATATAAAGTCAGTGATGTCCACCGTGATATATAACAAATATAAGTACAGTAAATACAATAAAATTGAGAATGGAAATGGGGAATGTGTCAAAGAGACAACAAACCGACCACAGAACAGACAACAGCAGAAGGCCACCAACAGGTCTTCAATGCAGCGAGAAATTCCCGCACCCGGAGGCGTCCTTCAGCTGGCCCCTAAACAAATATATATACTAGTTCAGTGATAATGAACGCCATACTAAACTCCAAATTGTACACAAGAAACTAAAATTAAAAATAATACAAGACTAACAAAGGCTAGAGGCTCCTGACTTGGGACAGGCGCAAAAATGCGGCGGGGTTAAACATGTTTATGAGATCTCAACCCTCCCCCTATACCTCTAGCCAATGTAGAAAAGTAAACGCATAACAATACGCACATTAAAATTCAGTTCAATGTATGTATTTCAGTTCCTCGCTCATATTAAGAATAATAGTTTCACAAAGGCATCATGTCATGCATGTAGTCATGATAATGAAGATTTCTGAAAAGTTTATGCAATCCAAGTACTAGTCTTTGTGGAGCTGCATATTGGAGATATATTGCGTCCATAAATCCCCCATATTCAAGTAAATGGCAAAAAAAAAATATAACATAAAAGATAAAAAGAAAGCACACAATCGTAAATGCACAAAAAGAAGCCTCAAAAGCCTGTATTCATGTAATTCAGTTGTCCATTTGTTTCTGTACATATATTTAATATATAACATATTTGTTTTAAAAAAAAAAAATTGTTTTTAAATCAGACTTAATTTTCTGTTTGAAATGCTTTACATTTGTCATTTCTGGGCTATTTATAGCTTACTACATGTATACAGTATGGGTTTACTCATTGTTGAAGGCTGTACAGTATTAATGACGGTAACCTAAACAGTTGTTTACTTCTATGTGACTGTCAATTGATCTCTAGCATATCTAGAAGAGAATGTTTTCATTGGCAATCATGCCACATCTTCCTTTTTTGATATCTCAAATATTTAGGTTTATTTTAGTTAAATTAAATAATTTAACTACACAAGTCAACTGTCATGACTATATGTCTAGCATTTCATTTCAATTGCAACATTATAATTATAATATGTATCATCTATGGGGACTGGTAGATTTTAGTTTTAGGGATGGATGGGTGAGGGACTGATCCCGCTGGGCCTAGAGCAAAATGAAAGTTATTGGTCACATACATGAAACACAGTGGACACTTAAAAAAATACTAGATTGAGCCGCCCCCCCCCCCCCCCCCCCCACCCCCCCAAAAAAATAATAATCCACATTTAATAAAAAAAAGTAATCTTGTTGTTAAACCTACCACTTTCCTCCAGTATCCTTTGGCTATGGAAACTTGAAAGGCCTTTGAATCTCTGTCTTTTGCCTTCATGCCGCATTGATCCACGGTCAGGATGTGAACAAGTTTAAGTAACTTTTACCCTGTCGAAACTCTATACCAAGTTTGTAACAGTGTGATGGATAAACTCTGAGTGAAATATTAGTAGTAAAATTCCATTCTCTGTAGGATAACACTATAAGCAGGTCTGCGTTCTACAGTTGTTATTTCATGATTGTAGTAATTTGTACGCAGCGATACTTCTACATTCAGTCCAACAGCTAATTTCAAGTGGTATTTTACATCTCTGGGACACAAACTTAGCTTAATAACCGTTGTGTCTTTAGAGTAACGTTAGTAAAGACCACAACTAGAGTTACTTTGCAGAAAGCCGCATAAATAACATCGTAAATTTGCTTCCACATGTAGTGAAGCAGAACCGGAAGTGATAAATAGTTAACAATATACAAGATGCACTGGACAAAAATGATTAATAAAAACTATTAATCTATCAAATTTAACACCATAAACAAATGAACCTTTATCAAATTATCAATTTCTCAAAACTGTTAGTTGTTGTTTTTCAAAAGATGCAGCATACATTATGAAATATTTTTTTTAATTTGTTTTGAAGATCAACAAGTGTTGTCCTTCTTGGAATAGTAAGAAAAAGCGGTTAATTTAAAATGAAAATAACTTGAAATAGGTGCAAGGCTACAAATAAAAAAAAAAATTTATATGTTGTTTGGAAGATTACATATTTTCTGTAATGCTGAATGGTTTACTACAAATAGCCTGTTCTCAGCAAAGATATGTTATAGCATCCATCATATTTCCAATACTTATATAGAGAGGAAATCATGCCCATCTGAATTTTTATTAGGGTATAAATGACATTAATAGTAGGCATCAACAATTACGGTTGAATATATGTTAATGTTTACTCAAAATGTGTCACATAACCAAATATTAAGCACATTGGTAACATAAGGTAAATCTCTTTTTCTTCATATTGCATGATTCTTAGGTGGAGCTATACTTAACCTATTGAACAATGTTAACTTATTTTAACTTATGAAAGTGAAATTTGGGGTGCTTTAGATTAATTCAAAAAAGTTAACTGACAAAGGAGATAATTATTTTGAAAAATTATGCAAAGAACTGCAAACTGAATCAGTTCATTCCATAATATGTACATTTTCACTGGGAGTAGGAAAAAGAAGCACAAATATTAGAGTGATAGGTGAGCTAGGAAGATATCCATTATTTATTGAAGTTATAGTTAATATGTTTTCATACTAATCACGTTTAACAAATGTAGAGGACAAATTATTGTCTGAGGCCCTCCTTGTATCAAAATCCTTATCGAACCATAGTTTGAAAAGTTGGTAAAATTCTATGAGTTCATTAGCAAAATATTTAGACGTAGATTTATCACATGTTTTTAAAATGAAATCCAATTTGAATAGATTATTTTGAACAGACTAGCATTAAAGTATAATCAGTTGTGGTATTCATCTTTAAACGACAAAACATGTCATTTGCAAATAAACTAAGAACATATAGACTTTTTAAGAGGAATAGAAGTTTTGAACCTTATCTGTCTATAGGCAATAGGAATATGAGAATTCAGATGATAAAATTCTGAATAAGTAACCTTAATCTAGAAATAGAAAGAAGTAGATACACGGGGCTTCATGCAATAGATAGAATTTGAAATCTTTGTAAAAAAGAAGTGGAAGATTTACTCTACTTTCTACTAAAATGTTCATCTTAATAAAGTGAGAAAGTTTCCGTCATTCAAAACATAGTTAAAAGTTACAAATATTTTCACAATTTAGATTATCGATCACATTTTATTTGGCTAATGTCCAATGAAGATAGTCACATTTTAATCAAGTGAGCAATTTAATTAATAATTCAAATGTTATTCGAAAACAACTATTAGAAACTTAGTTAAGCTATAAATTTTATTGGTAAAAAGACAGATGAATAATTCAGCTATCTATAATTGTCCTTGTTATTGTGTACTTATGAAAGCACCAGGAAAAAACAGAATGTCTAAATTTAGTTTTCTATGTTTTTTAGGATGACTGTATTTGTCAATATGGAAACATAATATTTATAAATATACATTATTTTGTCCTTTTCTTTTCATTGTATTCATAGATTTTTAAAATTGTATTTAAATCATTGTAATCAATGTTATCATTTGTACCAAATTTTACTTGATTGTTCAGCCTGTAATGGGCGTCTTTAATTGACAATACAATATATTTGATTTTGATTTGAACATCATTTACTTTATCCTTGGTATCAGACACTAAATGATATAACTATGGAACTCTTAGCATAAACTTCAACTTGTCAGCGGCAGCAATGGCATTACCTAAAATAATCTCCGCTGTAACACTATTTTTGACTTCTCTTGCCCCGGATATGTTTCCTGGTGATTGATTTAGTTTCCATTATATCTGACATATTTGTTCTGAAGTTGGGCAGATTGGTTAGAATTGTTGGAGACATTCTTTGGCAACAATGATCGGTATGTGTCGAGGATGTGCGACATAAGAAATATGTATTTTTTTTATGGAAGAACTGTTTGTCATTAACAGTCGTTATATTTATGACTTCCAAGCAGTAAAAATCTGATCTGAACAATAGGGCTAATTTGGCCTTCTATTTGTTTTCATTTACTCTTTAAATTTATATTCGTTTCTTTCTAATATGATTTGACAAAAATCCAAATCCTGAAGCTTTATTCCATCGTAAAAAAAAAATTTGGCAAAGTAACAGCTTATCCTAGACACTACTGTAAATTCAGAAATTATTGCAAGGTTTTTATTAATGTAATTTATTCCCTTGTGAGTATCGCAATAATAAGAACACGAAAAACGCACATTTTGAATTTGATGAATATTTCTGTATGCAGATTTTCCTGAAATCGCAATAATTTATCTCACAATTTCGACCATTCTATTCACAATAATAAAAGCACGCAATAATTTCTGATTTAACAGTATTTTGTTTTAAATATGTACTACTTTCTGGTATGTTCTTTCTAACCGGGTCCGAATTATTGGTTACATACTTCAACGTATATATCCAGTTGAGTTTTGCAATAAAGAATACCACAGTTAAGTCTTTCTCATATCTTGACTCTCATCTTAAATCTAACAATCGTTTGGTTAAGGACAAAACGTTTCAGCCGCGTCTGCATATGGAATATATATCACAAGAGATTGCGTCTTCTACCATGTTTCCTTGATATAGAGCTGTTGCTATCATTGATATGGCCAGATTTATAATTTAACTGTTTACACAATTTTGAATTTTTGAAATACTAAGGCTTTTTTTTTACCTAGGAATAGATTACCTTAGCTGTATTTGGCAAAACTTTCGGGAATGTTTGGTCTTTAATGCTCTTCAACTTCGTTCTTTGTTTGGCCCTTTTTGACATTTTTTTATTCGAGCGTCACTGATGAGTCTTTTGTAGACGAATCGCGCGTCTGGTGAAAATATTAAATTTCAATCCTGGTATTTATGATGAGTTTATTGATTACAAGGTTTAGTTGAAGTATTCCCTTTGAATATTTTCTGGAAACTATCACGACCTAGTTGACCGTTAAGAAATGGCTGTTTCACAGATGACGACGGATATGTTCCAAGATGCGTAACAACAATTCCATCCTCTTTTCCTCAATTGTGACATCACCGAATGAGACTTTTCCCTAGATTTTTTTGAACGAGCAAAATGACCGATGCCACATATAAAGCAGAAACTGCTTCCCCTTCCGGACGACATAATTCAATCATGTTTTAGACGGGAATATCGTTGCTGAGTCTAGTTTTAATGAGTTTTCTAGATAGAGTTTTGCAAAGTGTTCCTTTTTTTTCTGCCATGAAGTTGTCATTTATCCATCGACCTATGAATTTTTAATTTCCCCTTGGTATCTTCCGCTTCAATTCTAGTTTTTGATGGGGATCGTGCTATTTAGTTTTTAGTTTTCTATGTTGTGTCTTGTGTACTATTATTTGTCTGTTGTCTTTTTCATTTTTATCCATGGCGTTGTAAGTTTTGTTTCTATCAATGTGTTTTACTGTCCCTCTGGTATCTTTCGCCCCTCTTTTCTAGCCTGCTTGATTATGTCTGATTATTATCAATAAGTATTTTGAAGATGTAAGCATGGGAAATTGTAAATAATCAACTACCGCGATAGCTTACTTTATTATATTAATTCAAAAAAATTAGTAAAGAGTATTTTAGCCTTTTGATATCATGTTTTTTTTTTCAGACTTGTTGGTACAATGAGTCTTGAACTAGAAGACCAGGGGGAAAAAGTACGAAGTTTACAAAGAAAACTCGAAGAGGTATACTTAACCTACCAAAAACAATAAAAACTATGCTAAACCATACATTAATCATATTTGATCGGCGGAAACAGCAGAATTTGACAGCTATCGAACGAGAACTATAATTGCATTCCGTCAGTATGATATTTTTTAATCATCGGGACTGATTATAACGAAAGATTTTATCGCTTTTAGATGAATATGCCTATTAGTAATGGTTGATATATTCTATACAGTCCGTTCTGCAGAAAGATGTACGCAATGCCTATTCATAAATCTACTTCTAGGCATACATCGTCAAATAGCGTCACATACTTTTTATGATGTTTTTATTAATAACCTTCTACCATATATGAACAATTTTTTTGGTATATATTGCATATGCACAAAGCAACGTTCTCTATCCCTTTCTTATGGGAAGAAAGAGTGTGTCAAAGATCCAAAGATTAACACATACAAACAGTTATTCTGATATCATCTCGGATAATGAACGTCATAAACCTTTTTAGACCGTTTAGAATACGATTCTATCTATACTTACTTTTGACAACAAGCGTCTTGATGCCGTAAGATTGGAAGTCACCTATACGAAAAATCAGGCATATCGGAAATGCATCCCTTCTTTAAAAATTAAACGGTTTCTTTTGTACTTTACCACAACTATTTTAACAATTTTTTTTTTAGATATAACACATGTTTCTCATAAGCACCTGTTTGCCTTCCCCAAGCATATATGCATGTATACCGGCTGCCCACATTATACATGAATATTGTTAACAGCGCTTTAACCGACAAACGGCATTGTTTGGAAATCAACTGTGTTCCTCTACTTATCGACTATTCCACTTAACTCATAACAGACTGAATTCATAACGGAGATTTTCAAGAAATCATAAAAAAAATTATTCGTGCGGCTAATGGGCTTTTCTAGATTTGCCTTCACCTTGAACGCTCAAGCAAGAAATAAAAACCAAACATGACAAATACAACAATTCGTAAAAAAGCTAGTACTATGTAATCAAGAGACCGTAAAGAAAAAACAAATAAAGGTAAACTTTGCCTGAGAAAGTTTGAACCTTAGTTTCCAAAACAATTTATAAAATTATCAACAGCAATTCAATGAATGTTTTTATAAGCAATGTTAGTACCGTAGCACTTACTACTACACTAATAATATCATCGTTGATCCGGACTTTCAGCAGTGCTATCAATTCATTGCTAGTAATTGTAATTTACACCTAAAATATTCATACGTCCGATGCGTTTTTCTGCATTTACTTTCATCATGAACGCTCAAACCCAATAATTCGAAAACCACAATGATAAATAATAAAACGCGGCAGGAGTTAAATGAATGTTGTGATTGTAAGTAAACCAAATATAGATAAAAAAAATCATACCTATTCTATAATAAAATTTCAACCGCATTCATCACATGTAATGTTCCAGTAAAGCGATTGTTCACCTTCATATCTTTCTTGTTTGATTGTTCGTCGTCGACGTCGTCGGTAGTCGTCGTCATCATCATCATCTATTATGATTATTATTATCATTATTATCAGTATTTGTTATACACAGAGCAATTGTCTTTTAGGAGTTTAATCCACCATTTTCTACATAAGAAAATGCCTGTACCAAGTCAGGAATATGACAGTTTTTATCCATTCGTTTGATGTGTTTGAGCTTTTGATTTTGCCATTTGATTAGGGACTTTTTGTTTTGAATTTTCCTTGGATCAGTATTTAAGTGATTTTACTTTTTAGGAGTCAGATAGTAAAGAATACTTAGAAGAAAGTTACGCAGCAGTTAGGAAAGAACTAGAAGATGTGAGGGTTGAGTTTATTTCATCTAAACTTTATTGTCTTCATGCTTTGAAGAATATTGCCAGCATAAATTTTGTAAGACAGCAGATGTTGGTATACGAATTTGTTGATCGAACCTCAAAATATTGTTCATATTTACTCTTCTGATGTCTTGCTTCTGTTAAGGGGAATCTGCCAAAGGGTCCGATACAATGCTAGTGATTTAAAAAAAGACGTTTTTTACTTCTTATATTGCATCAATAGTTGCAGAATCAATTATATATCAGCCCTTGAATGATATGAATTTCCCACTTACACAATACACTAGTATACATTACACTATATCTCTAACAAACTATCCATTACATTTTTGATTTGAAATGAAAAGAAATTATTTGGTTAAGCAAAATTGATGTAAAAGTGATTGATCATTATTTTTCGTATATCTTTTGGTAATGATCGAATCGAAATTATTATAGTCACCAAGCTATCGATTCCGAAATCTTTATATTTATATATTGATTTTTAAATTTTCAATTCATTTTTAAATTTTCATTTATTTATAGGCTGTTTGCAAGGTGGAAAATAGCGAGCGAATTGTGTGTGAATTGCGAAGAAGATGTGAATCAGCTGATGGTAAGTACAACCGAAAAAAAACCAGTTCACTTAAAAGAAATGTACACTTAAATAACAAGTTTCATGTTTTGAAATCTTTACGTCTAGTTATAAAAGAGTATTCAATGATTATCTACGATTGGGGTTCCAAAACTCTGTTTCTTTTTGCACAAAATATTTGGTTGAAGTCAATAAAAAAAAAACATCCATCATGACTGAAAGTGAGAGTACCACATGTACACATGAACAAGTAAAAAAACAACAAAAAAGCCACTCATAAAAATAAATTGTATCCAATGTTCATTGTCTGATAAAAACATCCATTTACTATTGTTAAATCTTGTAGCAGGTGTAAAACTTAAATTGAGAATGGAATTGGGGAATGTATCAAAGAGATAACAACCCGAACATAGAGCTGAACACAGCTAGAAAATCCTGCACCCGGAGGCTGACTTCAGTTTGCCCCTTAACAATAATACAAGTTCAGAGAAAATGAACGCCATACCAAACTCTTAAACATATAAATGAACCAAAATAAAGAAAACAAAACATACAAGAGTAGCAAAGGCCCGAGGTTCCTGACTGGTGACAGATTGAGAAAATGCGTTGGACCTAAAATGTTTCGATTTTTCAATATACATACTCAACCTATATTTTTTGTTAATGAAGATGATTTCAAATATCCCTAACATTAACAGCAATTTGTTTTTTAAAACCATGACATGATAATATTACCCATCACTATTTCGATCTGTATCAATTGCTCCAGAACATAACGCTACAGTTTAAATTATGATTTAGCATCGATTAAATATATTTATGTCTAATGTGATCAGCGTAATAAATGTATATAAAATCTGAGGATACCGAATACAGAAACTACCCTTTGACTAAATATCTGAGTGCATGAACACTTATGTCAGGACACACCTTGCTCGGTTTTTTGGAGGCGAATAAGTAACAAGGAGAAAGATTCCAATCAAAATGTCGTTTATTAAAAACGACGATCAAAATTATTTACAACAACAGGGGAGATAATCTTACAAAGGGTAACATTTAAATGCCCCTGATTTAACTCCCCTGATAAAAAGCCAGCCTACAAAAAAGGTGGCGTACAAAAAAGGCCACTTACAAAATGTGGCGTATCAATAAAAGGCTAATTACAAAAAGGTGGCGTATCATAAAAAGGCCACTTACAAAAAGTAGCATATCATAAAAAGCCATTAACAACATAATGGCAAAAATCATGAAAATTAAAATTACAAAACCCACATCATATTTAAATGTACAAGGTGGCAAGTTATTGGGGTAGGGGGTGGGATCAAAAATTGTCCAGAGAACAATTGCGATCTTTCTTGTTGCAGATAAATATTTACCTCAGAATACATCTGTTATCTGATTGGTTGGTTAAAATACAGAATAAATAATTATGCCATTACACTCAGTTCAAATTGACTGTTTAATTCAAATAGAAGTTGTCCACATAGACATAAATGAATTTTTAAAATAAATTAGATTTTATGTCTAATGTGATCAGCGTAATAGATGTATATCAAATCTGAGGATACCGAATACAGAAACTACCCTATGACTAAATATCTGAGTGCATGAACACTTATGTCAGGACACACCTTGCTCGGTTTTTTGGAGGCGAATTAGTAACAAGTAGAAAAAGTCCAATCAAAATGTCACTTATTAAAAACGACGATCAAAATTATTTACAACAACAGGGGAGATAATCTTACAAAGGGTAACATTTAAATGCCCCTGATTTAACTCCCCTGATAAAAAGCCAGCCTACAAAAAAGGTGGCGTACAAAAAAGGCCACTTACAAAATGTGGCGTATCAATAAAAGGCCAATTACAAAAAGGTGGAGCCAATCTATTCATACAAAATGAGATCAAATTTACATGTAATTGTGATGCAAAGTGTTACGTGTTACGTTCTCACACAATAATAACTATACCAGAAAATCTATTTTTGATAAAAAGAGTCTAGGATCTTTTACTTTATTTTTAAGAAAAATTTCAAGATGAGCACAGGATTAGACAGAGGCTGGAAGAAGAATTAAAATCGTTAGAAGACTGTTAACAGTAAATTGTAAAATCACGAAGAATTTCTGCATTTAAAAAAGCGTGAACATTCAGTTTATATCAACAGAAAAAATATAATCAAGAATACATTGTTATTAATATGATTAATTTTGCTTAATAATTATCTATATTTCAGCAAAAGTATAATGAAATTTTGTTTAGAATAACAAAGAAAAAACAATAAGCATATGATTGAAATAAAATTAAATATGTAAGTCAAAAGAAACAATGGACCTATACAGTGGATAAAAACACAAAAAACATAAACTCAGGATATCTGTATGGTTAACTTTCAATTGTTTTCCAGTTTTTTAATTTCATTCGAAGAGTCAAAATTAATATATATTAAAATAATCTGCCACAGCTTTTAACTTATTTAGATTTATCAAATGTTTAATTTGTTTTATATAAGCATTAGATAAACGTAAGTTATACTTTATATTTTCAAAACACCATTCGTTTGATATGATTAAGCTTTTAATTTTGCCATTTGATTAGCATGATTAGGGACATTCCGATTTAAATATTCCGAGGAGTTCGGTATTTTTGTAATTTTACTTTTTAGTGCTATACATTTTGTTGCCAAGTTCCATAAAAATTGGAAAAGTGAAGACATGTTCAAAGGTACGACACTACGTTATATGTCATTATGTACACGGATTAAGCTGTGATTATGTGAATTGAAGCTTAAAGCATAAACTATATTGACACTATTATGAATACAATGCGCCAATAACATTTACAGAGATTTTCTTGGTTGTTCTAAATTTGTTTCTCCTATACTAGTATAATTATAGTAATATGATAATAAGATACCAATTTATATCAATCAATGTACACATGTACATAGTATGTATACTTAATAAATATATGATGTCATTAATACCTGATTCTACGAAGGCTAATCAAGGTCTAGTAACCGCTTGCTCCGCCCGTCAGTCCTTTAGGAAGACCTCGGAAACTTTAATCCACGTGTTCGGGTCTTCTGTGAACGGGAAGGACTTTTAATACTTGGTCTACAGCTTTATCATATGTAGAATTGAAGCGAGTAAACAATTTTTACATCCGACATGTAGCCACTTTCTCTTTGTCGGTAGTTTGTAATTATAACGTAAACATCATAGTACTAGGATAATGTTTGTAAAAGTGTTCTCGGTTTCTTTGAACTAGATTAGTTTAATGTTTGGTATGAACCTTGCCAATATTGCGTTGCAATCGATTAGGCCTTTTTACATCCATCATACATGCATTTCCTGTTTGCCGATAGTTTGAAATTTTACAACACTCTTTGTGCAAGGAACACTGTCGTCAAATATTTTATGGCTCCTACTGAATGGAAAGGTTTTCTGTTTGGTCTGAAGCTTCATATTGTTAAATGGAGAGAGTAAGCATTTTTTTATTCCTTGAATGCCAACATCCTTTGATCTACCGATAAATTATGTTGGCGTTCGAGGAATAAGTATAGGTAGTTATCACAACACAAGTGCATGCTTATCAAAACAGTCATACTAATTAAACAGATAGGTAAACTACAGGTAGCTTAATCTAGATCGTTGAAAATCATTTTTTACTATAATTGCTATAATTGCTTCAAAAATATGGATTCTCTTAAAATGAAACTTCGAAAAGTGTTGCATCACAAAGTCAACATGTGCATATTGTCAGGAATTATATTTTGCACCAATTCTACTTTAGACTCTTTGGACTTTGATGTTTCTTTTCAATATTTCTATAGTTGTGTGTGCTGTAAGATCCTACAATTAGATGGAATTTCTTGAAACTTTGTATCTCGCTATTGCTATGTTTTTATTTTGTTCAGTTGTTCAGGATATTTTTCTTCAACGAGTTATAATATATCATCCTTTTTTATTGTAAGTTCATATTAACTAATAAACTAATTAAAATGATATGAAATTAAATAAATCTCTAATATACTTTGTTTAGTTGAAAATATTTAACTAAAATTTCTTTAATATTTCTAATATGTCTTATGTTAATAAATATTTGCATTCCCAAAATGTTTTAATTTTTTTTTATTTCTTTAAAATTCAAAACAATTTTATCCCCAAAATCTTTTTTATCAAGTTCACTAATTTATTTTAACAGTTTAATACTTATAAAAACTCTTAAAAAGTTGTAAAAACACCTACTGTCATTATACAAACAGCTCTTGAAATATTTTTGTTGGCGTTCAAGGAATAGGTAACATATAAAATGTTGGCATTCGAGGAAGACACCGCTTTACCATCCAAAATAAAATTCCATATAATTAATTATTCAATTTATATTCCTCGTATACTCCTCTTATATATAGCTAATCACCACCCACAAAAGATTTTATCATTTAAACACTAGGACTTTTTCAGTAAATACTAATTTTCTACTCCTGAAGATATGAAGACAATGGCATAGCTTTTCCAATATTGATTTCCAAATTTTTATACATTTTCCGAATACATCAGACGAGGATGTACAGTGTGTATAATTTAAACACAAGGCGTGTTCCATGGGTTTATGGCGGGAAATCGAGTCGGGCATTTGTTCCGTCAATGGAACGTACGTCATGTACTAAAACAAAATACAAAAAATGGAGGTTCTACTCAAGAAATCGGAATCATCAAATGAGATATTGGTAATTGAATATTTATCACTACAATAAGGATTCTTTTAAGTTCTTTTTCAAGTTACATCTTTTACTTTTACCTTATTGCTGGAAAATCTATCATGATTATTTTCAATAAACTTTTATCGTATAAATTATAATAAAGAGATTATATAAAAATCTGTGTGTTCTTAATTATTTTTATCTATTCTTGGACGATTACATGTGTTCCACAGCATATACAAAGTATGTGTTTAAATGTCTTACTTCATTCATTTATGAAGTCGAATAATTATGTTTAAACTTGTTTTCTAAAATACATTAAAAGACGACTCTTCTTTATTATGCAACACAGAGAGAAAAAAAAACATGAATAAAAAGTAAAATTATGAGGCTTACATTGTAGGTCTGTCAGTCCCTCTGTTTATACGTCAGCCACAAGTTAAGTTTTCCATTTTTTTGTATCAAATTGCTGCACAATATTTTCACCATAGAATACAGGTCAGGTTATTGTTTGGTGTTTGGACATTTACAATTCAAGAGTAAAATTCTGGAATATTTCTTTTTCATGCAGAGCTTTGATTCCTTGTCCTTTTTATTTGATCAGTTCTGCAACGTTTGTAACAGGTCTTGGATTTTCAAACATTTTGGCCACGACCATCACTTAAGATAAATGAAGTGTTAAAAAAATGCAGCTGGTGCCTTTAATATCATGATGACTTTAAGTTACATAACAAGATGATATTTATTTTTTAAAAATATTTTAAATTAAGAGTACCACTTGACCAAATCTTTGAAATTCTATCACAATATCATAGATCACAACAGGCAAGTCAATTTTATTCGATTGTTCTTACATTAACCGTATAAGAATTAACAAGCTACCCGATCAGATTTTTCAGGTTTATTTTTAAAAATATCGCGCATCATAAAAGTTCAAACAGTTCAAGTTCGATTTTGATAGTTCTGTCCTTAAAGTTCAAGTCTTATTGAAACTAGTTAATGAAATTGAGAATGGAAATGGGAAATATGTCAAAAAGACAACAACCTAACGAAAGAGCAGATAACAGTCGAAGGCCAACAATGGGTCTTCAACGCAGCGAGATAATCCCGCAACCAGAGGGGGCCTCGGCTGGCCCCTAAATGAAAATATGTACTAATTCAGTGATGACGGACGTCATACTAAACTCTAAAACATATAAATGAACTAAAATAATTAAACAAAAAACATACAAGACTTACAAAGGCCAGATGCTCCTGACTTGGGACAGGCGCAAAAATGCGGTGGGGTTAAACATGTTTTGTGAGATCTCAATCCACCCCCTTTATCTCTAGCCAATGTAGACTAAGAAAAACACACAGCAATACGCACAATAAAACTCCGAGTCCGATGTCAGAATAGGTAACAAAAGAAACTAAGCAAAATGACAATACATACATTAACAAAGTACTACTAGCAGTTACCATCTTCGCTAGCCAAGGGTTACAATCCACTCCCCTCCTCTCAATCCTCGGCACATTAAGCCAAAATTTGTGATTCCAATGCTGCGCCATCTACCGGTAGACGGTGCTGACCAATGACAGCACTTGAACACTCTTCAATGTAGAGGTGTAAAAATTATTGTGTCTCTAGTGTTTATAAATTTCGCGAAGCAGGCACTGAAAATCTATGTTGACATTCAAACATATGCACGAGAATCCTACCCAGGAACTTCAATAAGTTAATTAAGAACTTTAAAATTGTCACCGAATATCGTTCTATGTTTTGGGGGTAAAAACTTGTTGCACAATCATCACGTGACAATTGTTTATTGACATTTTCTACACTTACACGTGACCATCGTAGAGGTTCTTTTTTATTGGATGCAGTCAGTTACAGGTACATATCTGTCTTGCACATATCATCTGTCTTAACTTCTTCTTAATTGTTCATTGTTCAATGTTAAGCTTTTATGTATGGGTCTGTTTTTCAAGTACTATAAATAATAGGTTAACCTATTACAAATGGTGAAGTTGAAATCATCCCTTCGTAAATTTTACGGACGCCATCACGAGTTGGTTGACCGTCATGGAAAAACCGTTTCACAGATGATATCGAATATGTTCCTTATGTCGTAACTACTACATGTACAATATCCTTCCCTTTTCACGAATGTGACCTACCGAATTAGACTATTTACCGGATTTGTAATAACATAAGCAAAACGACGGGTGCCACATGTGGAGCAGGATCTGCTTACCCTTCCGGAGCACCTGAGATCACCCCCAGTTTTTGGCGGGGTTCGTGTTGCTTAGTCTTTAGTTTTCTATGTTATGTCATCTGTACTATTATTTGTCTGTTTGTCTTTTTATTTTTGGCCATGGCGTTGTCAGTTTGTTTTCGATCTATGAGTTTGACTGTCCCAAGTCAGGAGCATCTGGCCTTTGTAAGTCTTGTATGTTTTTTGTTTAATTATTTTAGTTCATTTATATGTTTTAGAGTTTAGTATGACGTCCGTCATCACTGAATTAGTACATTTTTTCATTTAGGGGCCAGCCGAGGCCCCCCTCTGGTTGCGGGATTATCTCGCTGCGTTGAAGACCCATTGTTGTCTTTTAGTTTGGAATGGGGAATACTTGTGTAAAGTGTAGAAAAGTCAAATGTTTAAATACTATTGCAAGATGAAAGAGTCTTAGATTGTAGATACTCTAAAAGATCTTAGGAATATTTTAGTATCCTCATTTTTCAGTATCAATGTAATATTCTTTACACAGCACAAAAATGTCGGTATTCACCTCAAAAGCTGACCAAACCTTTAAAAAGAATTACTCAGAAGGGATATAGTTACGATACTGTTGTCAGATCATTAAGAATAGCATTTTTTGGTATTAATATTGATTCACTCATAGGATCTTTGCATCGGAAATAAACACATTCATTCTTAAACCAGTTGTTGGCATGATACGAGTTATGATCTTCTCATATATTTTATAATGGTATGATACTAAATCCCTAACGGGAAAGATTGTGCTTGATTTTCATAATATGAAGACATAATCTTTCAAAGTTTTATTGAGGTCTGGAGCTGGCATGTCAGTAACTGCTCATCTTAGCTAGCCAAGGGTTACGATCCACTCCCCTCCTCTACACCCTTGGCTGATTGAGATTGAATTTTGGAGACACAAGGTAACGATTTCTATTGGTCGCAGTTGTAACTGACTGCATCCAATAAAAAAGAACCTCTACGATGGTCACGTGTAATAAGATCTATTTCTCTGTTTGTGTTCGACATGATTGGTATGTAGGTGTTACTCATAAACCTTAAATGATAGTTTGATATGAGGTCCTTGGTTGGGCCTTATGCAGAAAATTGCGGCCATTGTCATGTTCTAAATTTTGAACTTTGCTAGTTATCGTTACTCCTCAGAAACCGTAACATATATCGAAACTATTTGTTGGTCAAACTGTAAGTTACGACTTGACGCAACTTCAATACATTTGGGTCAAAGTGCTCTCGTTACCTTTTATAGAAGGTTTTATCCCATTAAATATTCAAAAGAAGCTGTTTTGACGGGGAAGGATACTTTCTTAACCATACACATTAGAGACTTAGGGCTTTTGTTTTGAAATCTTTGATCTTCGACCTTGAAAATGAGGTTATGGTCTAACGTCAACTTCACCATTTGTAATAAGTAAAACACGCGAGACATTTCAGCGTGTGCACTATTGTTTTATACAAAGGTTACTTTTTTTGTTATAAAACAAATGTTTTCCATATTTGTATAAAAATTCATTATAACCTTTTTTCAACATCAAAATGTTATTTGGAAAGACCTTCAACTAATTTCAACTAATTTCTGAACAATTGGTTTTTAATTTCATTTCATGTTTTAACAATGAACACTCCATAACCAGAAAAGATTACACAGCTGACGGAAACTTATCATGTTTATTTAACTAGATATAAGAAGATGTGGTATGAGTGCCAATGAGACAACTCTCCGTGACTGTTTTTTTTATTCCTAAAGATTCTTACATTGGTACCAGTGGATTATCGGACTTATTCACTCGAGATAGTAAAATTATTGAATTTAAAAGTCCGAGCCTTGGCGAGGAGTCATCTGACCTTGACCTCATTAGTCGATGTTAAGTTTACCTGGTCTAGTCGGTGTCTTAGAATATATTAGAAATAAAAGTGGCGGAAGAGAAACAACATATTAAGAACCAAAAGGTCTTTCGACAGACAGGTAGAAAGTCCTAATAAAATCGGAAAAACCTGTAACAAACAGGTGCGGATCCAAGATTTTGAAAAATAAGGGGCCGTGACCCCAAAACTAGTCAAATTTTGGAGACGGACATGTAAAATGACTACGTTATTCTTTAACCATATGTAGCTCCATAAGGAGGGCCCGGGCACCCTGTCCCACTTAATCAGCTTCAGACAAATTACTCAGTACCCAATACAAAACAAAAAAATAATAAACAGGTGACCACAACGTGGAGTAAGAACGTACATTTCTAATGATTACTTTGTTATCTGGTATCAAATATTGAAATTAATGGCAATGATATTGTATAAATGTTATTGATTTCAATCAAAGAATTATGAAGATAAATACAATGATATAGCAATATAAAAAAAAAAGAATTTAACAATGAGCAAAACACATACCGCATAGCAAGCTATAAAGGGCAACGAAATATCAAATGTTGAATAATTCAAACGAGAAAAACTAACGGCCAAATAGTTTCTCATTTATATGTAACCCAAAATTTCTTTCTGTCTCTTCTTACTTTTGTTCTGCTTTTTTAGGCAATTCGTAGATGACACATACAGTTGATCCGATCTGAATATTGTAATCAAAAACTGTCAGGGTATCCCGGAGAATTTTATTGCCAAATTTTAGATGCAGTTTGAATTCTGGGTCACATGACACGGTCTTCTTTATTTTTTTCTTTACATTACTTATTGTATCAGATAATCTAACAGTTATCAATGAACTTGGACCTCCAACCATTAATGATACTTTTATCTAAAAGATATGAAATAAGTATATAAATGGAAGATATGACATATATTTATTCCTTCTTTAGGGAAAAAATTAACTGATACTCATTTGTTGTCAAAAATTATTTTCAAGACCGAAAAACAAATTAAAAGAAAGCGAAAAAACTACTTGACGTAAAAAGACAAACAGATAATCAAGTTTGTATCAGGCTTTGGATTTTCAAATAGTTTAACCTCGAGCATCACTGAAGATAATTGTCTAAATGCACATCTGGTGCAGTAAAATTGGTATCATTAATGAATGTAATTAGGAAATATGCCTTGCTTCAAATATACAAATGAAATTCGTTTGAGAAATAATATATGGAAAATGCAGTTTTTAATCATTTCTATGCGGGTACGAAGTAACGAGTAAACAAAAATGTCGGAATTAAGCTTTCAATCAAATTGCCATGTAATTCTAATAATATATTAATAATATAATCTTTATTAGACCGTGTATATTTACGCCAAACACCTGTCATTTTAAACTGAAAAAATAGATTTTGCAAATTGCTCTACAAATTTTAAAGTTAATTTGGTTTAAAAAATGTAACAAAAATCTTTTGAAGTCACTTTTGAAAAATCATTTTCTTAATGAGGTTTGAAATTTGTAATTTTCATGAGATTACATTTTCTGATTTCACGAGGATATTAAAAAAAAATAATAATAAGTTTGTGTTAAAAATGATTTAATTTATCAACAGTTTGAATAAATTAAAACATTTGCATATGTTTGTTTTTAGAAAAAAAAACACATTTCAATCTCATTCTAAAAAGCAAATATTGAAATTGCTAACCTTAAGCATTTTTCATTTTGACTTTAAATATTGAAAAATGAAAAATACTCTAACGTGGAGCATTTTTCATTTTGACCTTAAATATTGAAAAATGAAAAATGCTCCAACGTGGAGCATTTTTCAATTTGACTTTTAATAATGAAAAATGAAAAATGCTCTAAGCATGCTATGGAGCATTTTTCATTTTGACATTATAAATTGGAAAATGAAAAATGCTCTAATGTAAAGCATTTTTCATTTTACGTTGCAATATTAAAATTTGAAAAATGATCCAATCTGCATCATTTTTTTAATTTTTAAAAAGTAGAACGAAATGAAATTTGTTTTTATAAAGGTGTTTTAAATTTTCAAATTGTCGACACAGTTTTTAAATGTTTCACTGTTTCTTTTTTTTCTTTTTCCTTGTTTTAAACAAAAATATCTTGAAGAACTTGTTAATGATGTATACATGTGCACTGGGTTTGGTATCATCTAATTCCGGACATGAGTAGTATACTGAAAAGTACGATAATAACCAAAAAGATGTGAATTTTTATTAAGTAGTTTACCCGCAGAACACACGATTGTATACCTACATGTGTGTGGAACATGCCAAATATCCGTATATATATATATATGATAACATTGATAATGGAAATGGGAATGTGTAAAAGAGACAACAACCCGATCAAAGAGCAGAAAACAGCTCAAGGCCACCAATGGGTCTTCAACACAGCGAGAAAATCCAGCACCCGGACGCGGGCTTTAGCTGGCCCCTTCAAAAAATGTGTATTTGTTCAGTGAAAATGGACGTCACACTAAAATCCAAAATATAAATGAATTAAAATTGAAAAAAAAAGAAACAAGACTAACAAAGGCCAGAGGCTCCTGGCTTGGGACAGGGGTTAAATATGTTTTGTGAGATCTAAACCCTCACCCTATACCAATACCTAACCAATGTATAATATACAAACACACACCAACACGCACAGTAAAACTCAGAGTCCGATGTCTGAATAGATTACAAAAGAAACTAAGCAAAATGACAATGATGCATAAATCAACAACGGACTACTAGCAGTTACTGATATGCCCGCTCCAGACCTAAATTAATCTGATTGATAGATAATGTCTTTATCATATGAAAATCAAGTACAATCTCTCCCGTTAGGGGTTTAGTATCATATCATCATAAAATATATGAGAAATTAACCCGTTTCATGCCAACATCTTGTTTTAGAATAAATTTGTTTATATATATATACATAGGGTCTTTGCATATATAACATGTAATAAAAAAAAACCACTTTTATCTCGATCAAAACGTTGTTATATGGACCTGCTTAATCAAAATATCAACCTCGGACTACGTTCTTTGTCGACATACCTTCAACAGTTCCATATAACAACGAATTGACCTCGTCAAACGTCCAAGTGAACCTTTCAAGCGTAAAACTATAATGCACCTCAATGTTCCTTTTAATTACTTTTTTACTTTTCATGTTCATGAGAGTGCCAAAACCAGAAACCACACTTGTCATTTTTCTAGATTGCCACTCTTTTTTTAATATTTTTTATTGATCTTTTTAGTCTTCAAACTACAGTGCATACATACATTTTTACAAGACATATTTATGGCATTGTTTTAATTGTTATTATGCGAATACGAAATAGTAAAAATTTACAAGTTTACGATGTAATTACACAGCATATGATAGATCTTAAGAATACTTTGGAGTTCATTAGATATATAATCATATTCAAAATAAATTTAATAACTTCCATAAATCCCCCCCCTTTCCCCCATCTGTCGACAAATGACTCGTGTTTGTCTTTAGAAAGATATAAATATTCTAGATAGCCATTCTTGTAAAAAGTGGAGAAACCTGACAATTTTTAACCTAATCATAAAGGAAATTCCACATTAAGAACTAGTTCAGCAACCAAAGTACTGATAGAGATGCCATGCAGTACTTGAGAAAATACATCAAAGAAATAGACCAGGTCAAATTGAAATTGTTTTTACGCTTTTGTACAGCGTCTGACTTAATGTTGAAAGACCAGGCAGATACTTCCTTTCAGTTTATTTCACAAGATGGTCTGGGGTCATGTGGGAGACTTTTGGAAGTAACAAACAGTTACGATAATTATCCAACATTTCGAACAGAATTTAACAGTTTCTTATCTGCATATCAAAAAGTATTTTTGATTTTTGGAATTTATGTTGATCATAATTGACTCTTTTATTCATAGCCTAGTTAACTTGTTCCAGAAACACGTAGAACCATTAAATTCTTTAATGTGTAGAGCATCATCAAAAAAAAACTACCCTCAACTTTTAATATCTTGCACACAAATTTCCCAAATGTCTATACTGATGCAAATATTTGATTTATTATAATGTGTAGGTCTGTCGTCGTCTGTTAACAATAATTGTTTGGGTAATAAGAAACAATGAATATGGTGTATAAATTCATACACTTGACAAAGATCAAAGTGGTAATTTTATTACTGAAGGAAATGGTTTAATGACAACCGAAGATAACATTTCATTTTTATGGGATTACCAAAGCACAACAATGAGTGATTACGTGATTACTGGCAACCCTCCCCCCCTTCCCCTACACAGAGACTCAATAAATCTACATCTGTGAAAAGTGGTAGGTGCGAGAAGGATCAGTTTTTGTCCAAACCTATAAACATACCATCAAGGTAAAAAGCACATTATCAGTAACTATTTTATTTAATATTTACTGAAATCGCAATAAAAATAAACGCAAATTTTGAATCGCAAAAATAAATGCACGCTTTGATCTCTGAATTTCAGTACTTATCTAGCCGACATAACAATTGTATCAGTCACAAAACTTTCATATTTATTTCGTATTTCAGCAACAAAGACAATGATATTCTCTTACCGGCCTTCTTCATACAATACCCCGTTAATGACAGTTAGAGAACGTCACACAAATCTTATGTTTATTATTTATTCTTACATATATAACATGTAATATAAAAAAAGCACTTTTATCTCGATCAAAACGTTGTTATATAGACCTGCTTAATCAAAATATCAACCTCGGACTACGTTCTTTGTCGACATACCTTCAACAGTTCCATATAACAACGAATTGACCTCGTCAAACGTCCAAGTGAACCTTTCAAGCGTAAAACTATAATGCACCTCAATGTTCCTTTTAATTACTTTTTTACTTTTCATGTTCATGAGAGTGCCAAAACCAGAAACCACACTTGTCATTTTGTGATGGCATGTATGAATTAAATGAAATGTGAGGTATAAAAAAGTACGTAAGCAACCAAACGACACAAAAAAAAACCAAACTGGTTGGGTTATAAAATATATCATGCCGGTAAATTTACCAATCTGAGAGTAAACAAAAGATCTGATGAAATCACAGAGACATCTGATTTTTCAAATTAATTTAGCTTATCTAAGGACATCTCAAAATAAGGAATTTGATAACAAGGTGTGAATGCATGAGAGGAAAACCAATCAAAGTACTGACGTACTGTTTACTCTAGTGGATATAACATCTGATGGCTGGCGAATAAATCATATAGATTGCAATCTCAAGACTACAGTACTATCAGTTGCTTTCTCAAGTCGAGTGGTAAACATTTCAGCCACATTTAAGGCGTTAACATACTAGTATTTAAGATTAAAGCAATGGGCTAGGTTATGTGGGCAAAGTGGGTCGGATAAGACATCAGAAAATAATTAAATGTGTTTTGAACTGTCTGAAGACTAGATAAATTAAATGCGTTCATTGAATGTTCGAATGTCGGTATGACGTGATTGTGAATAAAACAGTTTCCTTTCCCCAATACGAGACTGAAGAAGTTTAAGTGAATATAATTCTATACTGATTTGATTCTTGATGTGTATCCAGTATGCGTTGGTTGCTATTTTCAATAAAATTTCACAGCGGAAACCGTTTTTGTTCTTTTTTGATAAGTTTTAAATAGATCTAATTTTAAAAGCAAGTCGGAGGAGGAAGGAACCAAACCTTATAGTATACTTATATTTAAGATATGCATAAGGAGATAATCAGGGTCAGCAACCTAACAAAAAAGATTAACATACATGGACATCTATTGACTTTTTGCGAAATTAAAAATCCAAAGTCTATTGGATTTTTTGTTTGGTTTGCTTGAATTCGTTAATTGGAATACAGTGCCTACTAAATTTCACCCCTCCCCCAACACACACACTTCTACAAACACAAAATGCACTTTTCAGTCTAATCCATATCCAGAAGCTATTCCAGCAATCCCTACCATACATGATATAGTAAATGCCCCCTCCCCCGAGTATAGACCTTGCATGTCATGGCTCAAAAACCTAAAACAGTTCGGGATCTTGTTACGACGAGTTGGCTTATTTCCGAAGTATTAATGTGATTGTATTTCTAGCAAAATGTTAAAGAAACATAATTCCCAAAGGTCAGAAACTGAAAGAATTAAGAAATGCATCTAGTTAGATCATCCAAAGGTATCGTTGTCATTCTTAAATGGTCTCCACGATAGTCACCAGTTTCGAATGTGAGCGTTCAAATAGTGAGCTCATGTTCCTGAAAATATTTTTACGTGCAACAATAGGCGAAATATGACTAAATGGAGTAGCAATGATGGCGTGTTCGTGTTTATATGATAGTTAAGACTTTTGCTATCAAACATCAACAAAATGTTACGGTGATGATGACGAATGGTCGTTTAAGGTCAAATGGCAAATTAAATGCATATTCAAGACGAGAACATATGACCATAATTTAAACCCTACTTTGTACTAGACGACACACTGAGCCGGATTCCTAATGTGCTCTTTCACAAGGAAACAGTCCATAGGTAGACATGTCAGCCTACGCCGACACATTATTCTGCCTCCGCGTCGACTAGTCTTTGTTCTTATTCCTAAATGCACAGTGCCTAGCGGAAAAGCAGCAAATATGTATTTTCAAATATTTGGTTTGACCGCGTCGGATTCAAACCCACAACCTCCCGCACTCAGGGGGAGCACGCACTAAAGACCACGAGTCAGTAAAAAAATTAAAAATTAATTGTGTAAACCATGTGTTACCATTTGTTATGTTACTATATATTACGGATATTTGGCATGTTCCACACACATGTAGGTATACAATCGTGTGTTCTGCGGGTAAACTACTTAATAAAAATTCACATCTTTTTGGTTATTATCGTACTTTTCAGTATACTACTCATGTTCGGAATTAGATGATACCACACACAGTGCACACGTATACAACGTTAACAAGTTCTTCAAGATAGTTTTGTTTAAAACAAGGAAAAAGAAAAAAAGAAACAGTGAAACATTTAAAAACTGTGTTGACAATTTGAAAATTTAAAACACCTTTATTGAAACAAATTTCATTTCGTTCTACTTATTAAAAATTTAAAAAATGATGCAGATTGGATCATTTTTCAAATTTTAATATTGCAACGTAAAATGAAAAATGCTCTACATTAGAGGATTTTTCATTTTCCAATTTATAATGTCAAAATGAAAAATGCTCCATCTTAGAGCATTTTTCATTTTTCAATATTAAAAGTCAAATTGAAAAATGCTCCATGTTAGAGCATTTTTCATTTTTCAATATTAAAAGTCAAAATGAAAAATGCTTAAGGTCAGCAATTTCAATATTTGCTTTTTAGAATGAGATTGAAATATGTTTTTTTTTCTAAAACAAGCATATGCAAATGTTTTAATATATTCAAACTGTTGATGAATTAAATCATTTTTAACACAAACTTATTATTAATTTTTTTTAATATCCTCGTGAAATCAAAAAATGTAATCTCATGAAAATTAGAAATTACAAATTTCATTAAGAAAATGATTTTTCAAAAGTGATTTCAAAAGATTTATGTTACATTATTCAAACCAATTTACTTCAAAAGTTGCAGAGCAATTTGCAAAATCTATTTTTCAGTTTAAAATGACAAATGTTTGGCGTAAATGTACACGGACGTTTATTGCAAAATTACACTCATAAGGGTCAAGCAATACAAACAAACAATAATAATAATAATAAAAAAAAAGAGAAATCTTGTATTACCACAATTTGTCTTATTAACAGGCAGTTTAGAGCTTTTGTGATTAACATTTATACATGTATTTTTGACGACTAAGTTGAGCTCTACATATTTTTTTATTTAACTGCCTTATTACTGTATATTTAAAAATCTGCTTGTTATTCTTTTATTCATATTTAATATTTAAGTACTGATGTCGTCATTCGCAGCCTCGGCAAAGTATCAGGTAAGGAACAATAATGGCAAAAGAATTTGAATACTGTAAAATGGTACATACCTCTATTTTGTCGCGTGCCGGTGGTTTAAAAATTAGAACTGGCTCAGCAGATGCCTAAAATATGTAGCACTTTGTTATTCGTAATTTTTCATAAGTTTTAAGTAAAAATACAGTTATTTAAATCTGAGCTAAATAGTCATAAAGTATAGGACCAAAACAAATTTTGACACAATAGTATGGAACAAGATAATATTCGGCTTTTTACTGTTGGACTTAATTCATGCCTATAGAGTGGTTTATTCCAGTAAATTTTAACAGATTTTGAGCTATTATCAAATCGGAATTATAAAATATTTTGATTAAAATTTGCCTTTTTTTTTCAATTACATGACTGTTCTACAAAAAATTGAAAACAACACGTTAAATAATTTCATGCGTCCGAAGCGCTTTTCTGGATTTACCTTCATCAGGAACGCTCAAAGCCAAACATTTGAAATCCGAGGGATGTATAAGTACCGAAACAGTTGAAGAGCTATATGACTAAAAACACCTAAAACAAATAGCCAAATTCATCTAAGGTCAACTTTGCCTGAGGGAGTTGAAACCTCAGTTTCTTTATAATTTCAAAGTTTATTAACGGACAATTTAGAATGGTTTGTTATAAATCATGTCAGTAACGAAGTACTGACTACTGAGCTGATGATACCCTCGGGGACTGATAGTCCACCAGCAGAGGTATCGACCCAGTGATGTAAAAAATTGAAAACAACACGTTAAATAATTTCATGCGTCTGAAGCGCAAATTAGGTTCCTATACACGGATATTACTACTTGACGGAGAAAAATCAAACGCCATAAAACGATACCCTAGCCAACACATATAGTTAAATACATACATTTTGCTTTGCTATTTTGTCGAGCACTGCACCGGCACTGAAAAATATAAAATATTAATAAACGGAAATGTTCTATCACAACAGAAAAGAAGCTTATTTAAATTTTTAGCCTTAATGTTTTTTTTTTCAGAATGGTTTCATCTATGCAACTGTTCTTGTCTCTTGAGCTTCTGTAAAATAAAAACATGTCTAATATGCTTTTGTTGTCTATAATACAGTTGAATAATATTTATAAACGCGTTTCTAAACAGATAATATACATTACTAATAATATTTTATTATTGCTTTCATCGAAGTTGAATTCCTACAAAAAATATTCGAAACCGCTACATGGTCATGATACTTAATGGTGATGTCATCTTATGGAAGGTTTCCATCAGAGTTGAGGGTTAATACAGTAAAATTCTAAAACATTTGAATCTATAAAGAGGAAATCTATTTGAATAATTCCATTTGCTGAATTCGCACGTGTGAACAATTAGGCGGATGCATAGAAAAACGTCATGTGATACAAATTTTTCAACCTCCAAATTGAAACGGTCATCCCCGAACTCTTCTATTCAGTACGGTAACGGACCAACAGAAGACAGCCATCAGTAGGATTTCTATGTATCTATTTGTTATTTGTATGTATTTTTAAATGATGAGACATGACTGGTGCTACCCGATGAGCTCCCAATAGTTTTTGGTAGAATAGAGAATAGAAACGGGGAATGTGTTAGAGAGACAACAACCCGACCAAAGATCTAAAAAACAGTCTAAGGCCTCCAAAGGGTCTTCAACACAGTGAGAAAATCCCGCAATCGGAGGCGGACTTTAGCTGGCCCCTAAACAATAATGTATACTAGTTCAGCGAAATGGTGCATGGTTTTTTAATCTACTTTATCATACTTTTCGGTAAACAGATAATTTTTAAACACATTTGCTGAAAATCGCATGCTCATAAACAATTTCAGAAAGGAACTAGAAATCGGAAAGGGTTTTATATAAATATAATTAATTAACGAAGGTCTTTCAATACGTTTGTGGTATACCTACCCCTACAATGTGTGGTCACTTCGGGAGCATATAAAAGAGGGACGAAAGATACCAGAGGGACAGTCAAACTCATAGATCGAAAACAAACTGACAACGTCATGGCCAAAAATAAAAAGACAAACAGACAAATAATAGTACAGATGACACAACATAGAAAACTAAAGACTAAGCAACACGAACCCCACCAAAAACTGGGGGTGATCTCAGGTGCTCCGGAAGGGTAAGCAGATCCTGCTCCACATGTGGCACCCGTCGAGTTGCTTATGTTATAAATGAACATGATACTATTTTCGATTGTGGATGAAAATTTGTCAAAAAACCTTTTAGATTAATCGAGAAATAAGTCTCTAAAGAACCTGTGTCGCTCACCTAGGTCTATGTGCATCTTTAATGACCAATGAACCAAGAAAATGAGGTCAGATGAACCATGCCAGACAGACATGTACACATTACAATCAATCTATGAATGAAATATAGTTGACCTATGGCTTAAAGTAGATGATACCTGTCAGATATATAAATCTTACAATCATTCCATACACCAAATATAGTTGACTTATTGCTTATAGTATCTAAGAAACAAACTTAACCATGATAATTTAACATTGACCAATGGACCATGAAAATGAGGTCAAGGTCAGATGATACCTGCAAGACAGTCATATACACTTTACAATCATTCCAAACACCAAATATAGTTGACTTATTGCTTATAGTTTAAGAAAAACAGACCAAAACACAAAAACTTAACAATGAGCAATAAACCGTGAAAATGAGGTCAAGATCAAATAAAACCTGCCAGACTGACATGTGCATCGTAAAAATGTTTTCATACACCAAATATAGTTGACCTTTGCATAAAGTATTAGAAAAAAAGACAAAAACACAAAACTTAACATTAACTACTGAATCATGAAAATAAGGACAAGGTCAGATGACACCTGCTAGTTGAACATGTACACCTTACAATCATTCCATACACCAAATATATTAGACCTTTTGCTTATTGTATCTGATATATGGACTTGACCACGAAGACTTAACCTTGTTCACTGATCCATGTAATGAGGTTGAGGTCAGATGAAAACTGACAGGCATGAGGACCATGCAAGGTCCCCACATACTTAATATAGTTATCCTATTACTCATAATAAGTGGGAAATTAACATTACAAAAAATCTGAACTTTTTTTTTCAAGAAGTCACTGAACCATGAAAATGAGGCCAAGGACAGACGGAAACTTCATAACATAAGGCATATGAGTATGAAACATCCAGGTCTTCCACCTTCTAAAATATAAACCTTTTAAGTAGTTAGTAAACGCCGCCGCCGCCGCTGCCGCCGGATCACTATACCTATGTCGAGCTTTCTGCGACAGAAGTCGCAGGCTCGACAAAAACTACAATAGACAGATAAAATTTTTTAAAAGCAAACATGATCAGCATGACAAGATATATAAATAAATCTAATGGCCGAATTCTTCAGTCGACTCGTTATTGGAGTTACTGCTCTTTAATGACGATTTTTATCCTTTTTTGAAAGTGTTTTTGCCTATTATCTTGAAAACTATTATTGATGGATAGACACTGTATATAAGTAAAATGATCAGCAAGACAATATCTTCAAACAAGTCAAATTTTTCCGATATAGTTAGTAGACTCTTTATAGGAGTGACTGCCCTTACATGACAGTTTTTGCGCCCTCTTTTGTGTTTTGGACAAGAACTATAGAAAATAGAGTGAAACTAAATGCAAAAAATTACCAACAATACAAGATTAACAAAAAAAATGCTTTTGTCATGAATTCTGGTCGAGCCTACAATGTTGGGGAGATTCATTGTTGAATATGCATATAGACCTAGGTGAGCGACACAGGCTCTTTAGAGCCTCTAGTTTTATTTGCTATTAACCCCCGGTGTATGAAGGACTTTTATCAAATATAAAACAAATTAATGTGATGTTTTAAAATTTCACTCATTCATAAAAATGGCAAACCTATAATATGGCGTACGAACAAAGATACGGTACTTTACGGATTACTCTCCCCATAAACAGACCATGAAAAACCAAACTAACAAAAGTAAAACAATAAATAAATAAATAAAATACAAGATAAAATGAAATGAAACTATTTGGTCGGACTAATGCAACATCGAACTTATGAACTGTGTAAATATATTTGAATACATTACCAACTGATCTTCAGCTGAATTTTAAAAAGTATGTCTGTCAGAAATGCCTGTATATCAAATTGCTTAATTCCATCTGGCTGCATATACTTTGGGATATCGTCCAATTGTGTAAAGTCACTTTTATGCAGTGCGTACGATGAATAGAACATTGTGTCATGTGTTTCACTCAAAAGCTGCTCAAATGTCGAAGTTTATACTGAGCCTGACTCAGCTAGCTTAACCAGGTGACTGTATCGCAATCTCGGCAAATATATAAAGAACACAACTTGTTTCGAAAATTGTAATTATAATATTCCACCAGAAAGGTTTACAAGTAGTCAGTAGATTGTTTGTGGTAAACTGCAATAAAACAAAAAGAAATACTTACAATGTATGAAAGAACATATTAAAGTTCATATGCAAATATTTAAAACAATGAAATGAAAACGAAAGTAGAATTTACAGTTCCAATCTCGGTTATAAATAACTTACAGTTCGTATGCGTTTAATAAATCACTTATCCAAATTAACGAACTTAAACAGATTAAATTATCACAGTTTATAAATGAATAAAACGTACTTGACAGTGATATGTCTCGATTTCCTCAGAAAATTAAATGTCGTCCATGTTACATGTGTTGAAATATTGAAACAGACGGTGTCACAGAAATTAAAGGCGTACGGTGATGTAAGAAATCGGTTCAGTGCGATTTGTTCCGGATGATTATGAAAACATATAGTAAACATTGAATGTGAAACAGAATACTCCCCGTCTGATGTCTAACTGATATCACTATTCCAAATATATAACACACGTGAATATTTCACTGTAAAAATCCATAGTATCATTATTAACAAAAACTATATACAATCGCTCTCTATGAGAAGAATCATGTCCACGATTGGGCGTGTGTAGATGGTGGCTTTTCCATTTACGATGATTCGTACTTCTGCTTTCCGGACATGTTCGTCGGAACTCTTAAATGAATTTACTATAACGCCTATGGGCCATTGAGTACGGCAAAGGTTTTTGTCCTTTAGGAGAATGACGTCTCCTTTGATGAGATCACGGCGATCTTCGGTCCATTTTCGTCGTGGTTGTAGTAACGGCAAGTACTCTTTCCTCCAACGGGACCAGAAAACACTGGCCAGAGCCTGTACACGTCTCCATTCGGCTAGACATAGATCCTGTTTGTCGAATTCTCCAAGCTGATCTGAAGTGAAGATGTAATCGGTCTTTTGTGTCAATAACATAGCTGGCGTTAAGATTAACGGACTCTCTGGATCTGTCGATACCGGTACCAGAGGTCTAGAGTTCACTATTGCTGAAACTTCTGCCATTAGTGTGTTGAGCACGTCGTGCGTTAGGCTTCTTCCTGCTGCGTTTAGAAGCATAGAATCAAGAATTCTCCTTGCGATACCAATCATTCTTTCCCAGGCTCCACCCATGTGGGACGAATGTGGCGGATTGAAGATCCAAGTTGTACCAGAATTGTACAGAAAGTTCTTGAAGGGTCCATCTTCGACGTTGATTGAGTCAATCTTTAAATCGTCGATTGCACCAATAAAGTTTGTTCCACGGTCAGATCGGAAAATCTTAACTTGACCTCTTATAGCGGCGAATCTTCTGACGGCGTTTATGAAGGCTGAAGAGCTCATTTCCTCGATTAGTTCGATATGAACAGCTCTTGTCACTAAGCATGTGAAAAGAATTGCCCAACGTTTTGAGTTGGCGTATCTACCACGTGTTTTACGTGAAACAATTGTCCAGGGTCCAAAGGTGTCTATTCCAACGTTGGTAAACGGAGGTGACGGTTCAAGACGGACATGATTTGACACTCGGTTTTCCCTCTTAGTTTGCGGCATATCACACATTTGTGAATAGTTGAAGATATCAAGCGTTTTGCTCCGACGATCCAGAATCCTGCGGATCGAATCGCTCCGTCTGTGAAGTGGCGTCCTTGATGTTTTACCTTGTCATGGTAGTGTCGGACTAATAATGTCGCTATATGATGGCGTCCAGGGACGATCAATGGTTTCTTTTCACGGAGGTTTAAGTCAGATTTGACAATACGGCCTCCTACTCGTAATAGTCCTCGTTCGTCCAAAAACGGATTGAGGTTAGCTATCGGGCTCCGCTTATGAATTTGTTCCTGACGTTTAATGCAATCTATTTCATCTCCGTAAACTTCATGTTGTGCAGATATTAAGATGAAATTTTCGGCGTTCGAAAAACTTTCCAGAGAAGTAACTGATGCTGCCTGTTTTGACCCGTGTAAACGGGAGAAACGTTCCAAAAAGGCTATCGCTCTCACAAGTGATGTCCAGTTGGAGAATCGGTTGAATCTTTCAGTTCCGATACCTTTACGCTCAGTTGTGGCAAAGGTCTTTGCAACATTAACAGTTGCACGGATTTCTCCATCTTCCTCTGGATCTATTAGTTGATAAATGTCCTCGGAATTCTCCTGTTCTCCGGAAAGAAGTTGTTTCGGTCCCAATAACCACTCACTACTATGAATTTCGTGGGCTGGTACGGACCTTGTTCCCGAATCTGCGGGATTACGGTTCGTTGGTACATAATTCCATTGACTTGGAGAGCTAAATTTCCTTATTTTCTCTACTCTATTGGCGACGTAGATAAAGAACCTTCTTGTCTCGTTACTGATGTAACCTAAGACCACTTTACTGTCTGTGTAGAATTTCACGGTGTCTATGTGTAAATCTAAATTATCCACGATGGTTTGTGTGATCTCAACTGCTAATACGGCAGCAGATAGTTCAAGTCGAGGAATAGTGTGACCACTTGTAGGTGCAACTTTTGCTTTCCCAAGAATGAACCCCATGTTTGGTTCACCACCACTGTCGGTCGTGCGTAGATAAGCAACAGCTGCTATGGCTTTTTCTGACGCATCAGAGAAGACATGTAACTCCTTTGTGACGGTTTTGCTGAGATACGGTACGTAGGTACGTGGAATGCGCAATGTTTCAATAGCTATTAAAGTATCTCTCCAAGATTTCCATTCAACTGCTGTCTCATCAGAGAGAGATTGGTCCCAATCGACGGTTTCTGATACTATCTTCCTTAGTAGGAGCTTTCCTTGTAATATCACAGGAGCTAAAAATCCAAGAGGATCGTAGATGCTGTTTATCGTTGATAAAATCCCTCTCCGAGTGATCGGTTTATTTTCTGAAGATAATTGAAATAAGAAGTTGTCAGTGTTTACATCCCAGCTGAGTCCAAGACTGCGTTGTAGGGGTTTGCTGTCGCATTCTAAGTCTAGATCTTTAAGATTTGAAGCCAAATCACTGGCATGAAATGCAGCCATAACTTCCGCACAATTAGAGGCAAACTTGTGAAGGCGCAAGTTTCCATATTTTGCTAATGCTTGCTGTGTGTCCTTCATGAGCTTTACAGCTTCCTCTTTAGTAGGACATGACGTAAGACCGTCGTCGACGTAGAAGTCTCTTGTAACAAAGCTAGTCACGTGGCTGCCGAACTCTTGTTCTGATGCCTGAGCTGCTTTTCTGAGTCCAAGCGTAGCAACGGCAGGTGACGGACTATTTCCGAAAACATGAACTCTCATGCGGTATTCGACAAGGTTCTCTTGTAGGTCGTTGTCTCTATGCCATAAAAACCTCAGATAATTTCGGTGGTCTTTTCTGACAACAAAACAGTGAAACATGTGTTGAACGTCTGCAGATACTGCGACCATTTCTTTCCTGAAACGCAGCAGTACTCCCAAGAGATCATTGGTTAAGTCGGGACCTGTTAGCAGGACGCTGTTAAGTGAGACTCCGTTACATTTTGCGGAAGAATCAAACACACCCCTAATCTGATCGGGTTTCTTCGGATGATAAACACCAAACAATGGCAAATACCAGCACTCCTCGTAGTCGTTCAACGGTGGAGCGAGTTCTGCATGATTATTGTCTAGGATCTTACTCATAAATGTAAGAAAGTGTTCCCGCTTTTCTGGGTTTCTATTAAGACTGGCGTCTAACATATTAGCACGATGAAGAGCTTGTGGTCTGTTGCTTGGCAATGGCTGCCTTGGAACTCGGAACGGTAACGGTGCTACCCAACTTCCTTCCGAGTCCCTCACAAATTCGTTGTCCATCTGCTTCATGAACATTTTATCTTCACATGACATTCCAGGCTTATCATCGTCCCTTGTTTTTTCAAAGAGTGGTGAAAGTAAATCTTTCTTAACGGGGTCTGTGTAGTTTTCCCGAATGTCAAATTTGCTTGTACATGGTTGAAACCTTGACGGTTGTCCTGTAGGTAAAATGTTGGTTATTTTGACGTTTAATTCAAGAGGCACGTGCTGCTTGTTAATGCAAGTCTCTCCTATCACTACCCAACCCAGTTTCAATTGTTGTGCATATGGAGTTCTGGGTGGTCCTATGCGCTGGTCAAGGACATGGTGTGCCTCTATAAGGTCTCTGCCAATTAAGAGAAGAATTTGGCAATTTTCCTCTATCGGTGGAATGCTACCTCTAAGTTCTTTTAAATGAGGGTGGTGCATTGTGACTTCAGGAGTAGGTATTTCGTCCCTATTATTGGGAACATGATCACATTCTATCAGTACCGGCAGGTCAAATTTGTCATTTCCATTTATTGATTCCATGACAAAACCTCTTCCTCTTTTCCCGGAAGTGACTACTCTGCCGGAGCATGTTGATAAGGTATAATTCTCCGGTTTGTCTTTTACGTCGAAAAGATTGAAGAATTCGGGCGATGCTAGTGACCGGTTGCTTTGATCATCAATGATGGCGTACATCCGGATAACTTTGTCCTGGTTATTCTTGTGATAAACATTCACAGGTAGTATTTTAGCACAAGATTTCCCGCTATATGTATCCTTGCAAATCTCGGTACAGGTAGAATTAACTGAGGTTGACTTAGTTTCAGCCGATTCTGTAGGCTCCCCGCCATAGGCTTGCTTGGGCGAGCTAGACTGAGAACTTGCAGGTTGTTGTGGTCGTGTAATGTGAAGTGCGGTAGTGTGTTGTTTACTTCCACATTCTTTACAACTTATGCGTGCATTACATTCCCGGCTTCTGTGTGTGGTGGAATCGCAACACTTATAACAGACATTGTTTTGTTTCAAAAGTCCTTTGCGTTCCTCTATTGACTTGGCTCGGAACGCTCGACATTCATTTAAGGAATGCTTTGTATTGTGCAGAATACAAAGACCTTGTTTGCTGGCGTCTCTTGATTGCTGCTCAACCGCTGTTTTATGAGCACCAACTTTAGTCTTGGGGTGAGACGTGAACCTTGGCGCAGCACCTTTTGTATTTGGTGTGGCTTTTGACCCAAAAATGAACCCAGGATCATTCTTTGTTTTGCTAATTTCCCTGATGAAGGCAGAGAATTCTGTGAAAGGTGGAAAGGCAACTTCATATTTAGACTTGTATCTTGTAGCCCTTGTTATCCACTTTTCTTGGAGTCCGTATGGTAACTTTTCAACAATAGGATTTATCCCGGACGAAGAGTCAAAATATGCTAGCAAACATCCCAGCTTGGGATTTTCTTTGTGATACTCTATTTCTGATAGAATATCGGACAAGTCATAAAGACGTGCGCTATCTTTGTTCGTCAAGGTAGGGAAGTTGACGAGTTTACTTGTGAGAGAGGCCTCCAACATTTCTGGAGCACCATATCGCTCATCCAGTCTCTGCCATAACCTTTGTATGCCTTTTGTAGGATTATTGGCATTCGACGCTCGTATGCTAATGGCATGTTTAGCAGACTCTGGACCGAGCCACTTGATCAGAAGATCAATCTGTTCTGAGTCACTAACTTGTAACTCGTCTGTCACGTTCTTAAAGCTTGCTTTCCATGTATGAAAGGATTCTGCCCGGTCATTAAAGCTTGTTAGCCGGGAGAACAGCAGGTCCTTGCGTAGGAGAAATCTGGTTATCTCCGACGTAGGATTGATTTGTTGCTGGTATGCAACAGGGGTCTCTTCTATTACGCCTTGTTTTTGGTGTTCAGTAGGGATCTCCTCTGAAAGGCCTAGTTTTTGTATGCCGGTTACTATTTCCAGATCTGGGATTAAGGTAACTTCCGGTGACTTGGTATCGGAAGGCAAAACAGCAGATGTCTGTGGCGGCAAGTTGAGTGCCACGGATGGCACGAACGTTGGTGCTTCATGACTCAGCTCAATCTTAACAGGACTTTGTCTCATCTTTTGAGGACCTGTTACTTCCTTTACAGCAGTTAGTACAGGATGTTTATTGACGAAATCTTGCACACGCTGGAGAGGGTCTTCCGTTTCGTCAAGGAGATCGCTAACTGCTTGGCTGCCGTCGTATTCCAGGATACGAGCCTCGGCTTCTGCGGCTGCAGCTTCTCTTTTTGCTTCGAGAATCTTCATAGCAGCCCTAAGTTCGGCTTTTTCTCGGACCGCACGTGCTGCTTCCTGTTCCATTTGAGTTTTCCTGCGAACGGCCTCCTGTTTTTTTTCAGCTTTGATGTGCTCCTCCTCCTGTTCAATTCGAGCTTTCAGGTGAGCAGCCTCAGCAATTCTACGTGTGGCCTCTTGTTTTGCACGGATGGCTTCTTGTTCTATCTTGGCCTTGATTTCTGTTTGTCTGTATAGGGTCTGTTCCTCTAATACGGCCTCCTGCTTTAAGAGGGCAGCTTGTTGCTCGGCAAAGGCTATCCTTGATCTAGCGGACTCTGCCTTGGCACGCTTTCTCCGTGCTAGGCTTGACATGTCAGAGACGTTTGAGCTCCCACTATGCGAGGTGTTCTTGCCCTTAGATGTCCTCGTTTTTGTAGATTTAGCCTTTGTGAGGGTAAGGCGATGCTCG